AGGGCAATAACTTTTGCAAAAAATATCAAATCAAAATTCTTTTTAAGGAAACACAACAACATATCATGATTATTTAGCCTACTAAGTTTCAAAGAAATCCGTCAAAAAATGTAGGAGATCTCCGGATCAAAAAATACTAAAATGAACAAAGGGCAATAACTTTTGGAAAAATTGTTGAATCAAAATTCTTTTAAGGGAAACACAACTTCATATCATGATTATAATGTCAAGTTTCAAAGAGATCGGTCGAAAAATGTAGGAAGAGATTGCCGGACAAACAAAAGTTTACGCAGGACGGACGGACAACGCCATACCATAATACTCCTGTCAAATTTGACAGGCGTATACAAATTACACCCTCCACATATTTTTCGGCATTGATATAGATTAATGAAATTTTGTTTTAAAATTTACTCTGTTAAATTTCCTGATTTCCTTTTAGAAAACCATATCAGACATAGAATATTTCATAATCAAGCAAATAATAACCCTAAAGCTGAATTTTTACTTACTACCCAGTTAATTGATTTCAAATATTATTGAGGTATATGAAAAATTGTAGGCAAAAAATACCAAACATTTTTTGAAATTTAAACAAACACATTTACTTTGTGCAGGGACAGTATCTCCATTATACGTCCCTGCTTTGTGAAATCAAAAATGAATACATATTCATTTAACTCATTAACCCCTGAAATTTCATAATGAACTATTCCAACCATTGAATTGGAAGAGTTCAAATGTGGGGTGAATGAATAAATACTCAAAAGGCAGTTGTATGCATGAAAATCCATTTCTTGAGAAATACCTGTAACACAATTAATCCAATACATGTAATACTTAGCCATGATTTCTTTGACATGCAAACTCAAATTAATGTAACAAAATGAATGCTATCATATGACAAGCCAAAGTCTTTCACACTAAACACATATATATGTAACATGTATCTCATCTGTATCACTCTGTCACTCTACTAAAACTTAAAATAAAGCAAAAGCTGATAGAATATATAGAAAACAGCATATCACAGTTTAGAGACATTTCCAAAACACATTTTCATTCCTCAAAATTCACAGGAGGTTCTATAATCATCTGTATCAGCATTTTATCAACACTAACCACCTATAACAAAATACACTGGGTTTAAAAACATGCATTTGATACCACAAGTACACCAAACACTTGTTTATAAAGATGCCAATATGATAGCTGATAATGACAGATTACAGTCCTTGTAAACATATTTTGATTCCATATTCCAGACAGTCCCAGTATGTGCATCTTTTGCATTTTAATTCTTCATCCAAAATTTATAAAATTGATCTTAAATGAGAAAAATTGGTTTTCTGATTAGGCCAAAGTTCAACCCTGTTTAAATATGTTTCTGATTTACTTTAAAACTCTTGTTGCATGCATCAATTATGATCATAACTCTTGACCTTTACCCCCCTGAACTCTAACCTCTACTTAAAACCTCTTCAATATGGACGGACAGCCACACAAACCAAAGGTAGGGGTAATATCGTTTAGCTATGCAAATTCCATTACTTTAAGCCACAGAGACGAGAAATACTGGCATCATTGTACTGTATAGCTAAATACTATAAGATCCAATACCTCACAGACAGGCACAGAAACTCAAGGTACTTATACAACAGATACCTAAGCTAAGAGTCAGCACTTCAAAATCCCCAGGTTTCAGGTGTATATAAACATTCTAGGGATTCTTTATTCAAGAATACGATAAATAAGACTCGTAATGTTTATCTGCATGCATGTTACAGTTACTATGAATAGAGCAAATTGTCAACTGTTTTGTGGCTACAATTATTTGTTTTCAGATTGTTTACAGTGAGTAATGCATGTAATGTAATGTAAGTAATGCAAGTCAAACTCTTTAAGTTTCTGATTTCAGTCAAAATTACTTGTGAGTTTTGTAATTGTGTCTTCCCTACGTTTTGAGGTCATTAAATGCTACAAAGTTAAATATTGGTTCCCAGATCCTCAAGAAACAATCAGAAACCCTCCGACATGAACATTGCATTTAAACATCAAATTGGAAGCAGAATATGTATCATACATGTTCACACAATTTAGTCAATGTTTCTGGAATGCTCACAAAAACCTAGAGACGGAAATCATCCGTTCCCTATATTGTTCTAGTAATCAAAGGGACTATAAACATTTGTCAAACGCACACAACGATCTTAACGTCATGTGTACTATTTCAATTAGTCAAAAACTGAAGTAGTATGCGAGACAAATTATTTCCAGAAGGATGGAGGAACTAACAGATAGAAAGATGCAACAACACCATGATTCCATTATATCTCCCTTAACCTCATTTCAGGGTGTATACGAACGTGATCTCATGATCATCATAAACAAGACTGTGGTAATAGACAAGGAAAAACTTCAAATATCACCAATCCAAAACACTAGATATTATCTTTGAATGCTATAACATACATTTATGTATTTACTTAATAGTTTGTTCAATCTGTCAGTGCGGCTTCTCTAGATTTATCTGAAGTATGTCTGTATATACCCAAAACATAGAAATTCAAGATCTATATTTGGCAACAATGAATTAAGTTACAGTTGTAATATGTGATTTTAGATTTATCAAATATATGCGACATAAGGATTTTACCCTTGAAGAAACGGACTTTATATCAATATTCATTAATCAGGATATCAATTTATAACTATAACTGTAGTGTTAATATATAAAATAGGTATTATGTTTATTTATATGTATATATATATATTTATTTTATAATTTTTATAAGTTATTTAATTAATATGCTTTTGAGTAAGGGCTTGTGTGTGTGTGTGTGTGTGTGAATGCATATTTATTATGTGTGTATGTGAGGGTGTATGTGTGTTATGGAGTGTGGTCTGAGTGTACAAACATATTATATGATTTGCTAAGAAAGTATATTATAAGTTTTCAAATGACATCAAATAATGTTTCGTTTCTTTCTTATATTTGTAAATTGGTTGAATGTTCTAGCCTATATGTGTGTAAGTGTATATGAGTGTGTCTTGTTGAGCTACTTACTAAATTTATACTTCTTGTCAATCTATACCGGTTAGGAGAAGACTTATATAGGCTAAGCCTGTTTTCTCATCCAATTGTGCATTTTTTTGTCCAATAAGATTTGTTAAAATCAATTATAAAATAGGTTACTGTTATACAGTGTTACTATATTTGAGACCTAAACCCATCATTTATATGTAGACATCAACTCAAACATCAGCTTACTCAGCTCAGCTGTAACAGACCAGACTCAACATATCAAGATTACTAGGCAAGAATATAATATATTATAATATCAGACTGTTTTAAGTCCTTTTTCACTATTTCGTCTTATCATTGAAGATCATTGAAAGGGTTTTGTGGTACTTGCTGATTAAGTGTTTCATTCTTTTTACCATTCCATCAAATTAGATATGTAACAAATCACACATCATTTATGCAAAATCACACATCGGGCATGTATAAATCACACACCAGATATGTAAAATCACACATCGGGTATGCATAAATCACACCCCAGATATGTTAAATCACACACCTGATATGTAAAATCACTCATCGGGTATGTATAAATCACACACCAGATATGTAAAATCACTCATCAGGTATGTAAAAATCACACACCAGATATGTTAAATCACACACCAGATATGTTAAATCACACATCGGGTATGTATAAATCACACACCAGATATGTAAAATCACTCATTGGGTATGGAAAAATCACACACCAGATATGTAAAATCACTCATCGGGTATGTATAAATCACACACCAGATATCACAAGTACGTGTAAATGTGAAGAAATTGATACCTACTCCTGAACATTACCTTCAAGGATTAGCCACCTGCCATGTCCCTACACACCATTATCATAGGTGCCTAATTATATACACAAACTTCACCTCCAACCCTTTGTCACGGAGAACACACATAGAGAAATACATACAAGCTTCCATGTCACACAGAACTGTCGGTAAATATATACAAGCTTCCATATCACACAGAACTGTCGGTAAATACATACAAGCTTCCATATCACACAGAACTGCTGGTAAATACATACAGGCTTCCATATCACACAGAACTGCTGGTAAATACATACAAGCTTTAATGTAACACAGAAATGTCGGTAAATACATACAAGCTTCCATATCACACAGAACTGTCGGTAAATACATGCAAGCTTCCATATCACACAGAACTGTCGGTAAATACATACAAGCTTCCATATCACTCAGAACTGTCGGTTAATACATACAAGCTTCCATGTCACACAGAACTGCTGGTAAATACATACAAACTTCCATATCACACAGAACTGCTGGTAAATACATACAAGCTTTAATGTAACACAGAACTGTCGGTAAATACATACAAGCTTCCATATCACACAGAACTGTCGGTAAATACATACAAGCTTCCATGTCACACAGAACTGTCAGTAAATACATACAAGCTTCCATATCACACAGAACTGTCGGTAAATGCATACAAGCTTCCATACCACACAGAACTGTCGGAAAATACATACAAGCTTTCATGTCACACAAAACTGTCGGTAAATAAATACAAGCTTCCATACCACACAGAACTGTCGGCAAATACATACAAGATTCCATATCACACAGACCTGTCGGTAAATACATAGAAGCTTCCATGTCACACAGAACTGTCAGCAAATACATACAAGATTCCATGTCACACAGACCTGTCGGTAAATACATACAGGCTTCCATATCACACTGAACTGTCGGTAAATGCATACAAGCTTCCATAACACACAGAACTGTCGTTAAATACATACAAGCTCCCATATCACACAGAACTCTCGGTAAATACATACAAGGGGGGATATCATACAGAACTGCGGGTAAAGACATACAAGATTCTGTATCACACAGAACTGACGGTAAATACATACACGCTTCCATATCACACAGCACTGTCGGTAAATACATACAAGCTTCCATATCACACAGAACTGTCGGTAAATCCATACAAGCTTCCATATCACACAGAAATGTCGGTAAATACATACAAGCTTCCATATCATACAGAACTGCTGGTAAAGACATACAAGCTTCTGTATCACACAGAACTGTCGGTAAATACATACAAGCTTCCATATCACACACAACTGTCGGTAAATACATACAAGCTTCCATATCACACAGAACTGTCGGTAAATACATACAAGCTTCCAGTAAATACACACAAGCTTCCATGTGACACTGAACTGTTGATAAATGACAGTTCTCTTGTCTTCACATTTTCCATAGTTAATCAATAACATCAGGGTTAGGTATCAAAATTCTGACTTACATTCATCTTATATTTTCATATTTCTTATTAGTATGAGCCTCTTAATCACCAAGTATACAGATTAAATTACAAATTAACTTTTTTTGAAAATATCCCTGATACAAATGCATTAATTTACATAATGTCTGTGGTAACATACTGACGTCAACCAGCTGGTTGACACTTGGTTAACACACACAAACACAATATAGAGGAGAACTCACTTCAGTTACAAAATTGGTATTCAGAATTAACACAACGATTACGATCTCAATAGTAGAGAGAGATCAGGAATTCTTAGTATAACTTCTCTATTACTGTACATGATAGAATGATGGATGTACAAATACCAGAAAAAACTGCCTGGTAGGAAATCATCATTTACAAGACCGCCCCACTGTTAACCAGACACAAGTCTGTTACTAGTACTGGCTTTTGTCTGATTGTCCCCATGTCTCTATACAATAACCCACATCTTTATATTATGCATATCACATTCGTAGAGTACTCAGGTACTGCATTTTGTTGTGGAGGAATTCTGTGACTTCCCGCGCCGATACCTGGTAGCTCTTTTCCACCTTACACCACATATCTCTCTCGATAGCACTGTCTTCCTATCAAATGGAATACAAAATCACTGTAAAGTTTTGTTTTAAATGAACTAAATATGCTTTTAACATTTAAAAGTGCCACCAATGCAAACACTACGAGAAGTTTAAATAAAAGAACAAAAACAGCACTGAACTTAATGTTAAGGAGCTAGTAGAAACTATATCTTCTGGTTCTATTTAGGGAATAAGTTACATATGGTGTATCTAGTACTTCATACCAGGGTAAGCTTTCAGGAATCCTATGTAAGAAATAAAGTTCTGCAATACCTAATAAAAAGGATTATGACGTTATATTGGTCTATGATGTCAGTGACTCTTTAAAAACCAATATTAATATTTTAAGAAACAAGAGGTCCAAAGGCCTTAATTTGGCTCACCTCCTTTTTCTTTTGACCTTGAAAGATCATTTAACCAATTAACCCTGCAAGCTACACATACAAATCATAAATTAGGTCTCAAGGTTATGTAGAGGCCAATACTTGCCAAATACCCTGACTCTAAGCCTTATAGTTCTATAGAAGTTGTTAAAAGCTTAAGCCAAAAGGGGCAACAGATGCCAAATGTACCAGGTGAGCTAATGAAAATGTTTTAAATGCATTGACAAGTACAGCTATATATTTCAGAGTATTCTGTCTCATCAAGACTTACTTCTATATCACATAGACTTTGTGTGAGGCTGAGCTTGCTCAAGTCAATGGTTAGAAACACTGGATCCATGTCCCTGATTGCTTGGTGGAGATCCTTAGCTGCCTTGTCTAAACCCTCCACCAGTTGGTTGTAGCTCGCAAACGTACATGGCTATGGGACAACACATACAATTAGACATATTAAATGATATATCTAATACTTTTTTTTTTCACACAGGAAAGTAAAGAATATAAGTTACAGTACTCTAGTTGTTTGGTAAACCTTGACCTACTAGCAAATAAAGGATTAGAACCTGTCAACATACAAGGATTCAATGTCTCACCATCTAGCACAAAAAAACCATTTAAACCCTCACATTCACTCATTATATATGACATCAGCTGATGTAAGACATAAAATCCTGAACAAATCCTCACAGGCTGGCTAACACGGACTCATAAACCCTCACATGCTGGCTCACACGAACTCATAAACCCTCACATGCTGGCTCACACGGATTCATAAACCCTCACATGCTGGCTCACACGGACTCATAAGCCCTCACATGCTGGCTCACATGGACTCATAAATCCTCAAATGCTGGCTCACACAGACTCATAAACCCTCACATGCTGGCTCACACTCACATGCTGGCTCACACGGACTCATAAACCCTCACACGCTGGCTCACACGGACTCATAAACCCTCACATGTTGGCTCACACGGACTCATAAACCCTCACATGCTGGTTCACACGGACTCCTAAACCCTCACATGCTGGCTCACACGGACTCATAATCCCTCACATGCTGGCTCACACGGACTCATAAACACTCACATGCTGGCTCACAAGACTCATAAACCCTCTCATGCTGGTTCACATGGACTCATAAATCCTTACATGCTGGCTCACATGGACTCATAAACCCTCACATGCTGGCTCACAAGACTCATAACCCCTCTCATGCTGGTTCACATGGACTCATAAATCCTCACATGCTGGCTCACACGGACCCATAAACCCTCACATGCTGGCTCACACGGACTCATAAGCCCTCACATGCTGGCTCACACGGACTCATAAACACTCACACGCTGGCTCACACGGACTCATAAACCCTCACATGCTGGCTCATACGGACTCATAAACCCTCACATGCTGGCTCACATGGACTCATAAATCCTCACATGCTGGCTCACATGGGCTCATAAACCCTCACATGCTGGCTCACACGAACTCATAAACCCTCACATGCTGGCTAACACGGACTCATAAACCCTCACCTGCTGGCTCACACGGACTCATAAACCCTCACATGTTGGCTCACACGGACTCATAAACCCTCACATGCTGGCTAACACGGACTCATAAACCCTCACCTGCTGGCTCACACGAACTCATAAACCCTCACATGCTGGCTCACACGGACTCATAAACACTCACATGCTGGCTCACAAGACTCATAAACCCTCTCATGCTGGTTCACATGGACTCATAAATCCTCACATGCTGGCTCACATGGACTCATAAACCCTCACATGCTGGCTCACAAGACTCATAACCCCTCTCATGCTGGTTCACATGGACTCATAAATCCTTACATGCTGGCTCACATGGACTCATAAACCCTCACATGCTGGCTCACAAGACTCATAACCCCTCTCATGCTGGTTCACATGGACTCATAAATCCTTACATGCTGGCTCACATGGACTCATAAACCCTCACATGCTGGCTCACACGCACTCATAAATCTGCCGAAGACACCCAGCAGGACGCCCCACCCGGTCACATTATACTGACAACGGGCGAAACACGGACTCATAAACCCTCACATGCTGGCTCATACGGACTCATAAACCCTCACATGCTGGCTCACATGGACTAATAAATCCTCACATGCTGGCTCACACGGACTCATAAACCCTCACATACTGGCTCACAAGACTCATAAACCCTCTCATGCTGGTTCACATGGACTCATAAATCCTCACATGCTGGCTCACACAGACTCATAAACCCTCACATGCTGGCTCACACTCACATGCTGGCTCACACGGACTCATAAACCCTCACATGCTGGCTCACAAGACTCATAAACCCTCTCATGCTGGTTCACATGGACTCATAAATCCTCACATGCTGGCTCACATGGACTCATAAACCCTCACATGCTGGCTCACACGGACTCATAAACCCTCACATGCTGGCTCACACGGACTCATAAACTCTCATATGCTGGCTCATACGACTCATAAACCCTCACATGCTGGCTCACACGCACTCATAAATCCTCACATGCTGGCTCACACGCACTCATATTGTCACTACTAGCAAACAAGGGTTCAAATATTTACCTGTTAGCACACAAAGAGTCTAACTACTAACTGTGAGCTAGTTTTACTTGATGTGAAGGAGTTACCAATTATACAATAACTGCATCACAGTTTATTTATAATCATTGTTTTAAGGGACCAGGTGTATTTACAACTATAAACATTGTTTTAAGGGACCAGGTATATTTACAACTATAAACATTGTTTTAAGGGACCAGGTTTATTTACAGCTATAATCTGTGTTTTAAGGGACCAACTATATTTATAGCTATAATCTGTGTTTTAAAGGATCAGGTATATTTACAGCTATGATCGGTGTTTTTAAGGACCAGGTATATTTACAGCTATACTTTGTGTTTTAAGGGACCAGGTTTATTTACAGCTATACTTTGTGTTTTAAGGGACCAGGTATATTTACAGCTATACTTTGTGTTTTAAGGGATCAGGTATATTTACAGCTATAATCTGTGTTTTAAGGGACCAGGTATATTTACAGCTTTAATCTGTATTTAAAGGGACCAGGTTTATATACAGCTATTAATCATTGTTTTAAGGGACCAGGTATATTTACAGCAGCTATAATCTGTGTTTCAAGGGACCAGGTATATATACAGCTATAATCATTGTTTTAAGGGACCAGGTAAAATTACAGCTATAATCTGTGTCATCAGGGAACAGGTATATTTACAGCTATAATCTGTGTCATCAGGGAACAGGTATATTTACAGCTATAATCTGTGTCATCAGGGACAGGTATATTTACAGCTATACTCTGTGTTTTAAGGGACCAAGTATATTTACAGCTATAATCTGTGTCATCAGGGAACAGGTATATTTACAGCTATAATCTGTGTCATCAGGGAACAGGTATATTTACAGCTCTAATCTGTGTCATCAAGGAATAGGTATATTTACAGCTATAATTTGTGTCGTCAGGGACCAGGTATATTGACAGCTATAATCAGTAAGGGACCATGCATATTTACAGCTATAATCTGTGTCATTAGGGAACAGGTATATTTACAGCTATAATCTGTGTCATCAAGGAACAGGTATATTTACAGCTATAATTTGTGTCGTCAGGGACCAGGTATATTGACAGCTATAATCAGTAAGGGACCATGCATATTTACAGCTATAATCTGTGTCATCAGGGACCAGGTATATTTACAGTTATACTCTGTGTTTTGATGTAGATATATCAGGTATACTTACAGCTATACTCTGTGTTTTGTTGTAGATATATCAGGTATACTTACAGCTATACTCTGTGTTTTGATGTAGATATATCAGGTATACTTACATACTCCAGTGGTTCTCCTTTCTTCTTTTTACTCTTTTTGTTCCACTGACTCTTCAAAGGCTTAAGGATTCGATGACAAACTCCGACCAGAATGGTTACATGAGATAATGTCTGTAAAATAAAGGCTTTAGATATTGGAAACATTCCTGTAAATCATAAACATGTTTTGTAGTACATAAATATTAACTTCATTTCACAACAATTTAGTTTTTATGTGGTCAAATTTTGCATAATTTGATACGACATCATTAACAGACCGTAGCACTAAGTAACTATCTTTGAGTCAGTTCATAGTCCCAAAGTAACTATCTGCCAGGTTCATACTTCTTATACTTTTTTTGAGTCTGTGAATGTAGCAAAATCAATCTAAGTAAAATCAATGTTGGCGAAGTACATCAGTTTTCAGTTAATGTAGTGACACTACTGCTATTGAATGTAAACATATTATGAAGTTTCTTTCCTGAGTGTTTCACCTATGAAACAATATTTACTGAACAGCTCTGGAAATATGTTGGTAACTGGTTCCAACAGGCAGTGAACGTCAATTAGAAACCATTCAGGAATTTAAGTCAAATAATTTGAATTTGATGTCACTCAATTACACAAACAGTACAATGGACATTCTCAAACAGTTGACATACCTCGGCTATAATGACTAGGTTTTCCAATATACTTGTGTTGATACAGTTCTCTCCATCTACTACCAGACTACCTTTATGTTTGGATATTAAACCTGCAAAAAAGTGACACATGATACAAATATATCTTATAAAGCAAACAAATTGTTTAATCTATATTCCCTGTATAGATGTTTTTTGTTTCCGAAAAGCAGACAGAAATTCCACACAGAAATTTAAATAAAGAAACAAATGTTTTAATTAATGTTGTGCTTGTTTAAATACTTGATCGAAACAACTCCAATTAAGGAAAGAAAAGATTTTCAGATGCCACCAAATATATATACTACTGGCCCATCAAAACTGTGGAAATGCCTGTAACTTAATTTCTGGTACAGACGATACTTACCACTGATTAACTCTGGTACAGACGATACTTACCACTAATTATATCTGGTACATACGATACTTACCACTGATTATATCTGGTACAGACGATACTTACCACTGAGTACGTCTGGTACAGAGGATACTTACCACTGATTCTATCTGGTACAGACGTTACTTACCACGGATTAAATCTGGTACAGACGTTACTTACCACGGATTAAATCTGGTACAGACGTTACTTCCCACTGATTATGTCCCGTACAGACGTTACTTACCACTGATTAAATCTGGTACAGACGTTACTTCCCACTGATTATGTCCCGTACAGACGTTACTTACCACTGATTATATCTGGTACAGACATTACTTACCACTGATTATATCTGGTACAGACGATACTTGCCACTGATTAACTCTGGTACAGACGTTACTTACCACTAATTATATCTGGTACAGGCGATACTTACCACTGATTACGTCTGGTACAGACGATACTTACCACTGATTAAATCTGGTACAGACGTTACTTACCACTGATTACGTCTGGTACAGAGGATACTTACCACTGATTATATCTGGTACAGACGTTACTTACCACTGATTAAATATGGTACAGACGTTACTTACCACTGATTAAATCTGGTAAAGACGTTACTTACCACTGATTAAATCTGGTACAGACATTACTTACCACTGATTATATCTGGTACAGACGTTACTTACCGCTGATTAAATCTGGTACAGACGTTACTTACCACTGATTAAATATGGTACAGACGTTACTTACCACTGATTAAATCTGGTACGGACGTTACTTACCACTGATTAAATCTGGTACAGATGTTACTTACCACTGATTATATCTGGCACAGACGTTACTTACCACTGATTATATCTGGTACAGACGATACTTACCACTGATTAACTCTGGTACAGACGATACTTACCACTAATTATATCTGGTACAGACGATACTTACCACTGATTAACTCTGGTACAGACGATACTTACCACTAATTATATCTGGTACAGACGATACTTACCACTGATTAACTCTGGTACAGACGATACTTACCACTAATTATATCTGGTACAGACGATACTTACCACTGACTACGTCTGGTACAGACGATACTTACCACTGATTACGTCTGGTACAGTCGATACTTACCACTGATTATGTCTGGTACAGACGTTACTTACCACTGATTATATCTGGTACAGACGATACTTACCACTGATTACGTCTGGTTCAGACGATACTTACCACTGATTATGTCTGGTACAGACGGTACTTACCACTGATTAAATCTGGTACAGACGGTACTTACCACTGATTAAATCTGGTAAAGACGTTACTTACCACTGATTAAATCTGGTACAGACGTTACTTACCACTGATTACGTCTGGTACAGACGATACTTACCACTGATTATGTCTGGTACAGACGTTACTTACCACTGATTAAATCTGGTACAGACGTTCTTAATTTTTCTTCTTTTTCGTTGTCTAATTTATCTGAAATGACATATTAACATGAGATAAAGATTCTTTCTATAAGAGAGCTGTTTTTCCCTCTGTCTAGTAGGTACAGTATTACATGTTTCGCCAATGTGTCCCAAGAGGAGGGTAATTTCACACTTTGCCTCGGTACACGATTTAATTGTAACAATCTAACAGTGCTGACCTTGGGGCAACAGGACTGGTACATACTCTTATTAACCCTTTCACCTCCATGTAACTTTAGTAGACTCTACCATGCATTGATCTGGATGAGTCCATTATGGTCTACAGTGGTGAAAGGGTTAACTGAACCTTGGATTCACAGTCCTGAATATTGTATGGTCCTGCAGTGAGTCAATAAATTTGCCTTCAAGTGTTTTGAAGATATGATTTGAAAACCAACAAGAGATCCCAGAGGGATCTTGGCGCCCACCTTTGTACCATCTTCATTAGCTCTTTATCAGTTCGATCTTTTCTCTTCTTTCCTCTAATCTGTTTGATCGAGTCATGTAAACAGTAATGCACCTTGAAGTAACTTTTGATCTAAACTTAATACTGATGTGTATGAAAGCCAACCTTCAAAGTGAGTTTGTCATTTCACATATTTACTAGTACAGTACTTAAATTAAGTGAAAGAAATAGAATCGATCATTGCAATATGAGAAAGATCTGTTTAGTTCTTTTTTTAATCCATTTTGTTTTTATGATCAGTCTCAAAATATAACATGCACAATGAGAGATCAAGGGGAACCTACATATAAAATTTGAGAAAGATCCCTCCCGTCCTTCCCGAGAAATAGTGATAACAAACTTTCACTATCAAAATCCAAGATGGCTGCCTGTCGGCCATGTTGTTCTAAAATTGCCCTGCACAGCTAGGACCAAGGGGAACCTACATATAAAATTTAAGAAAGATCCCTCTGATACTTCCGGAGAAATAGCGATAACAAACTTTCAATATCAAAATCAAAGATGGCTGCCTGTCGGCCATGTTCTTTATCCGATCAGTCTCAAAAGTTGCCCTGCACAGCTAACGACCAAGGGGAACCTACATATAAAATTTGAGAAAGATCCCTCTGGTACTTCTTGAGAAATACCGATAACAAGAATTGTTTAAGGACGGACCACGGACCACGGACCACGGACCACGGACCACGGACCACGGACTGATATCAAAGTGCTTGGATGAAATCAATGAACATCTATTACATTTAGTTTGGATCAATTTTAGATGATCGTAGACCAATATCAATGCTGTGCTTAGGTAATACCTAGACCATTGACTTACCTAGGCCATTGTTGTGTAGGTGTTGAACATACATCACGTTGCTGACCATGTCAGTGAAAGCTTGGCAGTGTCGTTCACGGAGATATAAACACAACTGTGTCCTAAATGGACCATGGACTGGGTACTGAAACAATATCACCAGACAAGCGATATCAAACACATTGAATACAACAAAATACCTCAGAGGGAAGCTGCATCTTTTCCCTTTGATGGATAGTTATTTCAACAGTAAATCCATCATTTGGTAACTTTTGAATGAAACTCCATAGTGCTGTTTGAAAAAGTCCTTTCAAAGTGAGGTTGTCTATTGATCTATTAACAAGAAAAGTATTGTGTGAAAAAAAACAAGTGCTTTCTGATTTCTGACAGCTATATTTTTCTTCTGATCAAACTCAAAATGAAATATGCATAACTATTTAAAGACAGGGTGAATCTTATTGTTTTACATTTCTGAAAAAGTTGTGTTAACAAACTTTCTCTATTAAAAATCCAAAATGGCTGTATAAAAGCTATCCTATTTTTCCAGTTGCATAATGTAGTCCCAAAAACTGAACATACACAACCCAGGACCAACTAAACTTAACTTGTTAAATTTGAGGATGATCCTTCCAACACTAAGTGAGAATATTTTTAAGGACAAACAACAGATGGAACACGGGTTAAAGATGATTTGAATAGCCCACTATTTGACGGTGGAGTACTCCTTACAAGAGTAATGTTAACACTGAGCTGAGTCTGTGTAACGTATGATACATCTTTACATACCTGATATGGGGTGGAGTACTCCTTACAAGAGTCTATGTGTTGGGTGGTATATAAGTATTGACATGATACTAGTCTGTAGGTAATGTTAACACTGAGCTGAGTCTGTGTAACGTATGATACATCTTTACATACCTGATATGGGGTGGAGTACTCCTTACAAGAGTCTATGTGTTGGGTGGTATATAAGTATTGACATGATACTAGTCTGTAGGTAATGTTAACACTGAGCTGAGTCTTTGTAACGTATGATACATCTTTACATACCTGATATGGGGTGGAGTACTCCTTACAAGAGTCTATGTGTTGGGTGGTATATAAGTATTGACATGATACTAGTCTGTAGGTAATGTTAACACTGAGCTGAGTCTTTGTAACGTATGATACATCTTTACATACCTGATATGGGGTGGAGTACTCCTTACAAGAGTCTATGTGTTGGGTGGTATATAAGTATTGACATGATACTAGTCTGTAGGTAATGTTAACACTGAGCTGAGTCTTTGTAACGTATGATACATCTTTACATACCTGATATGGGGTGGAGTACTCCTTACAAGAGTCTATGTGTTGGGTGGTATATAAGTATTGACATGATACTAGTCTGTAGGTAATGTTAACACTGAGCTGAGTCTTTGTAACGTATGATACATCTTTACATACCTGATATGGGGTGGAGTACTCCTTACAAGAGTCTATGTGTTGGGTGGTATATAAGTATTGACATGATACTAGTCTGTAGGTAATGTTAACACTGAGCTGAGTCTTTGTAACGTATGATACATCTTTACATACCTGATATGGGGTGGAGTACTCCTTACAAGAGTCTATGTGTTGGGTGGTATATAAGTATTGACATGATACTAGTCTGTAGGTAATGTTAACACTGAGCTGAGTCTTTGTAACGTATGATACATCTTTACATACCTGATATGGGGTGGAGTACTCCTTACAAGAGTCTATGTGTTGGGTGGTATATAAGTATTGACATGATACTAGTCTGTAGGTAATGTTAACACTGAGCTGAGTCTTTGTAACGTATGATACATCTTTACATACCTGATATGGGGTGGAGTACTCCTTACAAGAGTCTATGTGTTGGGTGGTATATAAGTATTGACATGATACTAGTCTGTAGGTAATGTTAACACTGAGCTGAGTCTTTGTAACGTATGATACATCTTTACATACCTGATATGGGGTGGAGTACTCCTTACAAGAGTCTATGTGTTGGGTGGTATATAAGTATTGACATGATACTAGTCTGTAGGTAATGTTAACACTGAGCTGAGTCTTTGTAACGTATGATACATCTTTACATACCTGATATGGGGTGGAGTACTCCTTACAAGAGTCTATGTGTTGGGTGGTATATAAGTATTGACATGATACTAGTCTGTAGGTAATGTTAACACTGAGCTGAGTCTTTGTAACGTATGATACATCTTTACATACCTGATATGGGGTGGAGTACTCCTTACAAGAGTCTATGTGTTGGGTGGTATATAAGTATTGACATGATACTAGTCTGTAGGTAATGTTAACACTGAGCTGAGTCTTTGTAACGTATGATACATCTTTACATACCTGATATGGGGTGGAGTACTCCTTACAAGAGTCTATGTGTTGGGTGGTATATAAGTATTGACATGATACTAGTCTGTAGGTAATGTTAACACTGAGCTGAGTCTTTGTAACGTATGATACATCTTTACATACCTGATATGGGGTGGAGTACTCCTTACAAGAGTCTATGTGTTGGGTGGTATATAAGTATTGACATGATACTAGTCTGTAGGTAATGTTAACACTGAGCTGAGTCTTTGTAACGTATGATACATCTTTACATACCTGATATGGGGTGGAGTACTCCTTACAAGAGTCTATGTGTTGGGTGGTATATAAGTATTGACATGATACTAGTCTGTAGGTAATGTTAACACTGAGCTGAGTCTTTGTAACGTATGATACATCTTTACATACCTGATATGGGGTGGAGTACTCCTTACAAGAGTCTATGTGTTGGGTGGTATATAAGTATTGACATGATACTAGTCTGTAGGTAATGTTAACACTGAGCTGAGTCTTTGTAACGTATGATACATCTTTACATACCTGATATGGGGTGGAGTACTCCTTACAAGAGTCTATGTGTTGGGTGGTATATAAGTATTGACATGATACTAGTCTGTAGGTAATGTTAACACTAAGCTGAGTCTGTGTAATGATGATACATCTTTACATACCTGATATGGGGTGGAGTACTCCTTACAAGAGTCTATGTGTTGGGTGAGCTGCGACAGAAGATCAGTGAGGACCTCGTGAGGGGGTTTCTTGTCGTGTTTGATGCCATTGTTGGTGTGGCTGTCTGACTTGCCACTTTGTTGACCGAGCATGACACTGGCTGTGAGGACTCGTAACGTTATCTTCCGCACCTTTAACCATAGTACCTGGGGCAAAAAAATGTAAATATCAGAGATTGCCCAGGGCTTAAACAGTTGTAAATATCATAAAATGACCTTGGGCACAGAAAATATCAGCAACAATAAATCAGTCCCAAAAAATAAGAACATTCAATCTTTTAAAACTTGAAAACAAATTCCTGAAATTCAATTATACACAATAACAGAATACTTGTTTTCACTTGTTGATAAATCTAAGGGTACACAAAGATATGATCAATTATACCTCTTCCTTGCGAGAATGTAGTTTAGCCTCTTCAAGTTTACATCTGGAATGAAATCAGAAATATAGAGAATAACTTGATGAGTTGTTTTCAATAACATCAACACAATACAACACGCTATATATATGCATGCAAAATCTAATTTCAAAATAGGAAGCCTTTTTCACATTTGAACAAAACATGGTTTCGTTTGGAGAAAGAGAATACAAATGTTGAAAAGCCTAACTCCATATCGTTCAGAAGAAATGTAGTACCTGATAATAAATCTGCACAAAAATGTAGGTTATTTAACCTCAGTGAAATGGCTGAGTAGCAGTAAATAAGACACTGACCTTGAGTGAGGTTCCCAGGATTCCACCACTGAGAAATCCCTATTATCACAGAGTTCATCATATCCATCCTTTTCTGTAATTCAAACAAGATTAATAAAATACATCTGTACCATATTTTCTTAAAAACTACTTCAAAAATTCCTAAATATTAAGATTTAATTTCGACTGTTGTCATCTGATCTTTTTAATGAGTTGCTTCAGTCCTAGTAATGTGAAAGGAAGCCTGTTAATTCCTCGTAAATTCACAGATTTGTTTAATACCTGATCATCAATTCATTGCTGTATGTATACGTAGCTTTGGTTTTCTTTTAGATTGATCATCATAATTATGTTAAAAACTTCGAATTCTTACAGTATTAAATTTGCCGTAAAAAACAGAGTTTGAAGATTGTTAGATGTGCAGAACTACTGGTTAGTTAACTTCGTAAGTGTCATATTGTTTCACAAATGATATATTTTATTCTGGAAACAGAATGACTCCATACTGTGTTAACTATCAAATTGTTTATGGATTATCTGGTACACAGCATCACATTAAATATTATGTTGCTCAAAGATTCACTTTACCAGATAAAAAGTATCACATTGTACCTTACTCGGCAAACAACATCACGCTATATACTGCCTTAGCATTGTTAAGTACTGTATACAGCTTTGATAATCGCCTTCACACAAAAATTACACTTCAGGAATAATAGATTATAATACGAGTTTTAACCCTTTCACCACGTGCTGTAGACCATAATGGACTCATCCGTATCAATGCATGGTAGAGTCTACTGAAGTTACACAGGGGTGAAAGGGTTAACAAGCTGTATTTATTTACACAAACAGATACCGAAATGGGAAAAGCTCACCTTTTTCTGGATCAATTTCCATGTATGTCACCATCTGTTCTGTGCTCATATGGCTGGAAAGAACAAACAACTCTTAAACGTATTTCAATAAAAAGTTAAATAAAACTGGGGGTTACAATTGTCTAGTATATCATGAGTACACAAATATATAGCAAATTAAAATAATCTCATTCCAAAAGTGATTTGCAGGAGATCTTCAGTTTTATTTAAATACAAAATCATATTTTCAATTCACCTTGAAGTTTCCAGCACCAAGTCTAGTAGCATACTCTCTGTCATGGCAGAAGAGTACTGCAAAGACTTCTGTAGTCTCTCCCGGAACTTCACAAACTCATGTATCTGAAACCAAAACATAATAAGGAATTCCCATAGGACAAACTAGATCTGTTAAGCACAGATTATAGTTTCATTTTTAACTAATTGCTTTCAATTGAACTTTCCTGCAAAAGTTAAACTGCCCATCTTAACTGTTAATGCCAACTTTTAAAGATGTTGTGTGTTATAGTATTAAATGAAAATGACCAAGGATTTATAGCAATGAATGTCAAAAGTAGAAATTTAGGTAAAGGTGACCCGGTTCAGGTACATACACTGTATCCCTATGTGTTATAACAAGGACATGCTCAGTCGATCATTCTCAATTTGTATTACATACCTTGCTAAAAGATCCATACTTGTAGGAGGCTATCAAATATTCAGCTGTCTGAAAACCAGAAAATATATAAAGTAATAAAATATTTTCGGTATTATATACAATGTATATCCAAATCCTTCACAATTTTATTTCATACAATTATTTTTGTATAAACGTGTTGTAACAAAGACCTGAAAAAAGTTTTTTGAAGAAATCTAGACTTGGGCCCCTTTCAAGTATCCGGTTCAACCAGTTGAAAAGGTTGAACCTGACAGAAAAACGACAGGCAAATCTGAACCGAGGCAGAACTCGGGAATATACAGCATGTGTGGATTGAGGGGTCCAGACGTGCCTGACCGAAACTTTACAGCTAACAATTGCTAGTTTGTGTTATTTATTCATGAAAAAATGTCAAGCCATATGTAGGTTTTAAGATACGTTATATAATTTAGTTGGTGCATGAAAGAAGGACATATTGTTCTTGAAACATTGTTATTTATTCTCTGAAACTGTGCATTTTTTTAGCTCTTTCTATAGCTCTGACAGTCCAAGAGCGTTTGTTTATCGTGGAATATTTCTGCGCCACCTGAACTGTTTCAATATGCGAATGTAACCGAGTTATATGAAGTTCCATGCTCAACTCCTTGAGGCATCAGGAACAAGTTATCTCTATTACATTGTTGCCAACATAGGGACCTGGGTGCTGTGTGCAATAATCTCCTTAAACCTTGCCCTATCAATCATGGCTGTATACATACTCAGAAGACTATTACAAGGAAAGTCTTTTAATAGAGGAAAAGTAGGTCACAAATGAAGGAGAGTAAGTAGGTCAAAGTTGTGGGAGTAGGTCACATTTGTTGGAAAGTAGGTCAAAGGCGTGAATCATCTTGTCATTTGCTACTGACTCAGCTACAGGGAAATTCCCTTCAGCTATAAGTCAATAGAGAATAAAGTAGTAATCTGCAGTCCAGGTTCTACTTATGTTAAGACCGGCCATATCTGGTGTTGCAGATCAAAACAAATTGTATCTCATTTGAAGAAAAATTGCATAATTCTGCCCTCAAGTATGCTGGTTGACATAACAGAACCTTCCACGGTTTACAGTTAGATTATGAAACAGTAAGTTTTGTAGAAAGAAATCATGGTCATCACATGGAAATCAGTGTCGATTGTAAATATGTTTCAAGTGACATAACATGCTTTGAATCATTTAAATGGTCACCATGGAGCTTGTTGCATTTATATCTGTTATTATATATACACAAACAACACACATCAGTACCTCTTTATGGTTGACTGCAAAGAAGCGTAGCATTGTTCCATACATAGCACATGCTGCCACAAAGTGCCCTAGTCGTCCAACATGGTTAGCTATTGTATGCCTGAAACATATCACAAGTGCATGAAATGTACTTCAATTCTAACAGTCCAAGCTTTATTTACAGACATAACAGATTTAGCAAAAACATTCCAGTGACAAAGAAAGTATACGAAGCTTGTTAATTGTATACTGCAAAATAGTTCTGAAAAGACTATATAATTATGATTATGTAACATAGAAATGGCAAAGTAAGACCTCAAACCTATAACATGCAGGACAAAATCACCAAGCAGAGAAATATCTGCAGCTCTGATCATTACATCAGCCCAGTAATCTGTTTCTAGGCTGATTTCAAAACCTGACAGATGATTAACATATTTACCATCTCTTCATATTCAAAGTCCTAATCAGTTATACTGATCCAGTAAGGCTTACCCTAGGGTATCGTTCATGACATGTTTCACCTCCATAGACTCGTACACAGTGTGACAGGGTCCATAAGCCCCTACAACCAGCAACAATACAGTAAAATCTGCCCAACTTAGACAACATATAGGACTTCTAGCCCCATGTAGACCGTTTTTATGATTTAGAAGGGTCAATTAACACTGAATTAATTTTTTTCTCGGTTTGTGCCTTGAAAAAAAAAAAAAACGTAAATCTAGCTCCTCATTTGTTTCCACTGATTCTGAAGCACTGCTTGGTGTTAACTTACCATTACATACAGAGCTAAAACTTTACATGTGTTATGTGGTAACTATAAACTGATCTACAGTCTCAGAGCAAATCTTTTGGTATTAAATCAATTAAGACTTGAATTCATGAACTTGATTTATACTAACTAAATATGTACAGAGAAAACAGAAGCTTACTACCTGCCTCTATACAATTTTACGATTGTTTTAAATAAATACAATATTCGGACCATTGACTACTTGTCAGAAACAAATCTTATCAAATATTCAAAAATGTATTTGTCTATTTACAATTTACCATATTAATGTGAACTTCCAAATTAATAATATAATCTTCTTTTTTTACACAAGCTAAAATCTTTATTCTACTCACCCATAATACAATACAGCCGCATCAATATCAACTTCATGTGGAAATTAGAACGACTGTTATTAATGCCCTTTTCTAATTGTACTATTGCCTGCCACACCAGGTAGTCCTTTTCTACAAGCAACAAAGTTAATATATCATTAATATTCCGACAATTACCACATCCTACAGATATTCCTTGTAAACATTCAAGGGCAAAACTTTACTGCATCCACCAATGGAATCAGTCAAATTAATTGTAGATGAAGACTTCGTACCTGTAACAGGTTTTGCAAAATGCAGTTGGTAACAATATCAATATGAGTCGCTCTCAAAGGTTGAATCACGAGTTCATTTTATACAGTTTTAGGAGTTCAAAGGACTATACATATTGTGTATGGTGTAAACTGTGCATTTGAGTCTGATCTGGTCTATAAGTGAAATGTTTAAAAGATTAAAATGGCTCTAACACATTAAATATTATTTCAAGCAAATCTCTGTTGCACCTTATTTCATTCAATGAAAATATATGTATTGACTATAATATAACACTTACATGCAATTTTTTGTTGTTGTGATTATTGGATCATTAGTGTTAATCCTATCACCCCTAAGTTACTTCGGTAGACTCTACCATACATTTATCTTGGCGAGTCCATTTTGGTCTATGGTGGTGAAAAGGTTAATTGCAGTCTTAGAAAAACTATTTACATTTGTGTAATTCTAAATCATACACTCTCTCTTGAATATCACGATGGAAGAAGACTCTAATGATCCTAAGGGAGATATCACATGTTTTGGCAGAATCTTCTGGCAGTTGTAATTTTAGAATGTTGTTATTTGGTAATTCAAAATTTGCTGAAGCTTGAGATGATTAACCAAGTGTCTACCATATATATTTGACAATTAGTATATGCCTGGTAATAAGCCCACCCATATCTATTCTAGACCAGTTCAGTAAAATTGCCAACAAAAGCTATCGCATCATGCAGAAGCCATTCCCTCTACTTTGTGTCAGAGTTTTTTTTGTGTGTTAGCTCTCTGGGCTGATTGTAGGATGAATACAGGATGAATAACCTACTGATTTACTTTTGTCTAATATTGTAAGTTCTTGCTCAGGTTTATAAGTTATTATGACAACTGATCACTATATCTACTCTTAGTATTTCTATTGTATCTGTCAGCATTTCAATTACAGCTTTGCCACGCAACTAACAAATTTATATAATGAAAATAGAAATGATGAGCAACAACACCACTGAATCCGGTACAAAATGTAATGTTTAAATTAGATTACATTTTGTACCGGATTCAGGGGTGTCGTTACTCATAATTTCTACTTTCATTTGCTCTGTTTTCCATGATGAGCATGCACTGTTGAATAGCATTAAGGTATCCACCCCAGGATCCCTACTGCCACACTATGGAACTGACTTCCTTGCAGGGACGTTGGGTCTCCACCCCCCCAGTTGCAATTAATATAATATCATTTGATGCGCAGGAGAGCTAACCTCTGTTAGTGATAATCTGACCACATAATAGCTGATTACAGAAATTTTGTTGACAATTTTTTTGATTGTTTGTAACTTTATCAATTCTGGCAATATAGATATGGAACCACCAACTTGTTGAATTAAAGTTCCACTAAATCTACCAGCCATGCAGTAACATAGATTTGTGGAATAACTTACTAGTCTCTCTCCAGATGTCAAGCAGCAGCAGCACAGCGATCAGGAGGTAATTATCACTGTACTGGAGGTCTGTAGATAACAGGTTCTTACCTACACAAGTCAAACATGGAAATAATCAACACGGCATAACTCACATGTGGAAACAACAAAATGGCCGAAAGCATAATTGCTGTTAATCCAAAGGCCCCTTTGGTGTGTCCGGTTAAACTGGTTATTCTGTTTTTAAATGTAACATTTTCAGATTTATGCAGGCCTTGCAAGACTTTGTCAAGGCTCGCCTGAAAGCAGATTACAAGGTTTGATCTTATTTCATAAACAAACAACTCTGGTCCAACCAGTTCAACCGTTTAAATTGTGATAAACGAATGCGGCCCTGGACAAGCACATCCATGATTTACCCAGTGTGAATTATCTGTTCAACAATACAATGACGTCACATCAACAATCCATTATGTATATGGTAGGGTCAACAGGGTAAGAGGAAAAGAATCATTCACCCCCCTTGAGGTTAAATGGGGAATCCTATCCCTCGGGGAAAGATTCTCCACTGCCAAACACTCAGCAAACCTTGTGTGTGGCAATCTTCCCTCTCTGGTTGAGATTCGCCTATCTCATCCTTAGGGGATTACAAATTCTATTACTCGCGACCAAAGTGAGATACTTTGCACATTTTCTGTGACATCTCTATGAAAACAACTTAATGGCATACTTTCTTTATAACTAGATGATGTCATTAAGAGCTTGAGTACAAGTGTATAGAAATACATTTAGTCAATTTAACATTGATCTAAATTAGACCAACTTATTCAATATTTAACACAGGTGGCCCCTGAACCACCAAAATGTCTGAAGCTTTCAAATGGGAATTAATTTGAATTTGTTTCTATACCAACATTTTTCTCCTGAAGATATATCCCTTTGATCTTTTCCTAATTCTACCAGATTTAAATATTTAACTGGTACTGAATTCAAACCATGATATATCTCATTTGCAAAAAAAAAAAGACCACATTGGGTGTAATTGAAATAAGAAGCTAAAGAAATTCTCAGTTTGAACATAATTACCTTGTCAATGATTAATAAAAATTAAAATAACAAATATTTCAAACTTCCTGATATGATTAAGCTGAAACATAATAGTTTAGAACTGACCGAAATCTAGACCGTTGTGATAGCGCTGTATGTATTCCTTGATGAGAACGAGCCTGTCGTCGGTTGACAGTTTGTCGTAGTAACCCATGTATCGCATCAGCTCCAGTAGTGTTATATGTCGCTGCATCTGTTTTACCTACAAATCAAATCAGATGATAACATTATCTAATGACAAGTTTCTTTTATTAATAGGACTGGTATAGTAAATCTGGACATTGTTTATTTGGCACTTGATAAACAAGTGACGAAATTATAGTACACACCAAAACTATTTCAAATGCTGAAAATTGGTGAAGTCATTCACCATCAGTCTCTTTAGTCACTGAAACAAAAACCAACTCCAACCTGAACAATCAGAATACTTATGTAGTGGAACTTGATTGGGTGGATTGTCTGTGACTAGGAACCTCAATTGGTAGAGTGTCTGTCTAGAGTTTCGGAGGGTCCCAGGTTCGAACCATAGTCTGGCCAGGCATTTTTCATCCCCGTTACACTTAAGCCAAAAAAATTGATTACTTGGTTCTCAGGCCCGCGCGCATTTCATGGCACCGTGCGCATTGCCTATTTTATCGTGAAAGTAATAAAAAGAAAATCGTGAATGCGCCAGCCGCCATCTTTAAAAAATCCGGAAAATTGGTCCGCATGTCGTTTTTACTTATTAGTCACCCAAGTCCCGAAAACGTTTGAATAAAGGTAAGGATTGAGATACAGGCAAGCGTTAAAATGATTATGACTTATTAGTCTTGTGTACACATGGCGCTCATTTCGGTACAAATAAGAATGGGGGGTTTGTGATTCTCGTCTGGAATATCGTGGGGGGATTTTCGGAGGCTTGCTCTATGACGGGTCTCTACACAACTATAAAAAGACAAGGAAATGTCCACAATAAACGTTTTACAAACTACACAATATAAAAAAAAATCGCCCTGGTCTCGTTTTTGCCATGTAAAAATGAAACAAACAAAAACGCCCTGCCGCATCTATTTTGAAAAAAAATGGCCTGAGAACCAAGTAATTAATTTTATTTGGCCTTACAATGAGTTGTACTCCTTCCTAATACAACTTTTTAGCCTACAGAAGATTACTTACACTCGAGGCATATCCTAGGGATTCTTCAGGCTTGGGCAAGTCAACAGATTCTGTTATCATGGATATCAACTGAAAGTCACAATTTGTACAGGGTTCTAACAGATTAATTCTTGATGACAAATAGAAAAGGTTATGAAACAGGATTATTAAACGCCGTTTCAATAAAATTCAAGCTAGTGTAGAATCAAAAATATTTATCCAGATGCCAGATTTTTTTCATCACAAAATCATGTTTTTCAGAACTGTAATTAAATGCCTTCCATGGAATCAGAAATATATAATTCATGCAATACATATTGAAATTAATCACATATTAAAATACATCACAACAATAGCACAGCGAAATTAAATGATTTCACATTTTTTATCTAGATGACCGTTCAATTTTAACATAGTCAAAACTCTTGTTCTGTTTACTAACTTTTACAATTGTACATTACACAACTTTTAGAAGGATTTCAATTTAATTTGTAAAAAGAACCAAAACAGATGTATACTAAATACCAACTGTTTGAATATTTCTGAATAGGTCATTGTGAGATAATTAAGTAAGTGATCTACTCTCCTAAAATAAAGTGACAGGGATTTATTGTCGGTACAGTTGCTGTTACCTTTGTTTCTTTGTCCTCTGTGAGAAGCTTTGTAAATGACTTCATGTCCTCAAAACAGCATGGTTTGTCTCCAAATAGGTCGTAGTACCGCAGGAGTAATTGCATTGGGTCACCTAAAAATAGGACAACGAAATTGAATAACCATTCACCATTCCATTTCTACACAACATTCCTGTACAATTATCATACAGAATTTGTTGACCAAATCCAAAGACTATTTGAAAGTACTTTTCGAGGCATAATGGTAAGATTTTCAAGGACTTTTATCATCAGGCATAATGGTAAGATTTTCAAGGACTTTTATCATCGGGGATAATGGTAAGATTTTCAAGGACTTTTATCATCGGGCATAATGGTAAGATTTTCAATGACTTTTATCATCGGGCATAATGGTAAGATTTTCAATGACTTTTATCATCGGGCATAATGGTAAGATTTTCAAGGACTTTTATCATCAGGCATAATGGTAAGATTTTCAAGTACTTTTATCATCAGGCATAATGGTAAGATTTTCAAGGACTTTTATCATCAGGCATAATGGTAAGATTTTCAAAGACTTTTATCATCGGGCATAATGGTAAGATTTTCAAGGACTTTTATCATCAGTCACCTATTTCATAAAATGTGATCATACTTCCTTTTGATCTTCCAAGTTTATATCACAAACCAAGTATTTGACTTAGTTTTCATTTGCAGAATTTTATTAACACTAATTGAACTGATGAGTTCAGCAATATACAATCATGTTATACCCTAATCTAAGTTCATTAGAAACAATTCACACCTATTGTGTTGTTAATATTAGTGAGATTTCAGTGTGCATATTGACACTTTCCTCAAAATCAATTTCTTGTTCTACAGTCACCTGTGGACCAGGTGAGCTTAAAATGAAATGAAGTGCTTTTCTTGCCAACTCTCTAAATTCAAGGACCATTCAAACCCTGCAATACCCTTAGCAGTGTTGTTTTCATAGATAATTTACTTATGGCCCAATGCAGTTATTTGTAGCAATTACAGACAAATTCATTTCTAAGAAAAGGGATTTTTCAACAAAGGGCTATTACTCCGAAAAAAGGGCCAGAATCGAAAAAAAAGATGTTGCAGACAACAGACATCCAGGGTGTTTCCCGTTTACCCCCTCCCCCCCCCCCCCCCCCCCAACTTCATTGCGGGGGGTATAATGTAATTAATCTTAATACTTCTCTGATCTTTAACTTCAAGGACAATTCAAATCGTGTAAACCCTGCGATACCCTAAGCAATGTTTTGTTTCATCTGTATTTTATCTATGGCAAAATGTGTATTGTTTTACGAACTACAGGCAAAGGAATTCCTGAGAAAAGGTGAAACGTTTTTGACATTAATGAAAGTTTAGCGTTACTATAATCGGGAATACTAGGTATCACCCCTTACCTAATTGTTCACTTTCCGAGAGGTTTGGTTTCCAACTGTTCTTGTCTTTCATCTGCCTGATGAGTTCTAGTTGAGCAAGGTAAGGACCCCTCTGAGGGCGTTTGCCCTCACACTGTTTAATAGTTTCCTGAACAAAGGTGGCAACCATGTTCTCAGTGTAGTCAATGTCCTCCTCACTGTAGTAATAAACAATAAGTCTGTTGGTACACAAACAACTTTACAGTAGATAAATAATATTGTATACACACATAAAACATGTTCTCTGTGTAGTCAATGTCTTCCTCACTGTAGTAACTAGAACACTGACAGGTCAGTAAGGGCCCCGTCTTGTAGCAATATATCCCCCATAATCATCAAGAAGCAATCGGTTCGTATAGCTGACCTTGACGTTTGACATTTGGACTTCAAAAAGAATCGCAAGGAAGCAAAATATACATTTTACATCTACTATAATGTGAGTCTTGTTTCCTTCCACCTCCATATTCGCTGGGCTAACAGAAATGTACATACTGGTGCAATACTTATTTGTAATCTTTGATTTGTTTTATTTCACCTTATATACCTCCTACATCAAGAGCCAGGGTCAAAGTCAGAGATGAAATGACCTTGACCATTAACCTAGTGATACTGAACTTTGGTCAGTTGACTTATTCTTTAATTCCGACCAACTTTGCTTCTTGATATCATAACAAAATGTTCATCAGTGAAAAGGTACAAAATTTAACCTTGACCTTTGACCCAATTACCTTGACCATTGGTCAGTTGACTCCTTGTTTAATTCTGATCAACTTTGCTTCATCATGTCATAACGAAATGTTTATCAGTGAAACGCTGCAAATTTGACCTTGACCTTTGAATCTAATGACCTTGACCTTTGACCTCGACTTTTTACCTCAGTGTGTCTCTTTGTTTAATTCCGAACAACTTTGCTTCCTAATGTCATAGAGAAATGTTCACAAGTGAAAAGCTACAAAATTTAACCTTGACCCCTGACCCGATGACCTTGACCTTTGGTCAGTTGACTCCTTGTTTAATTCTGATCAACTTTGCTCCATGATGTCTTAACAAAATGTTCATCAGTGAAAATATGTAAAATTTGACCTTGACCTTTGAACCTAATGACCTTGACTTTTGAACTTGATTTTTTACCTTAATGTGTATTTTTGTGAACTGAACATCTTGACCAAGTTTCATGTACATCGGTCAATAAATACCAAAGTTATCAGCCAGGAACAAAATTTGTGGACGGACAGACAGACAGACAGACAGTGATTACTATAGGGCACCCGTATCTCTGATACGCAGCCCTAATAAACAATAAGTCTGTTGATACACAAACAACTTTACAGTAGATAAATAATATTGTACACATACATAAAACTTGTTAAGTACACAAACATTTTTGTTGGTACACAAATAATTATACTGTAGACCTACCTAACATAAACACCCACATTGCTGCAACTGTGACATTGATAACTTATTCTAAGGAAATCTAATTACAAGTTTCATTTTAAGAAATTTGTAAAAATTGGTTTTTGTAATTTAATAGGTAGAAAACATAAGGTAATAATAAAATTTTATACTCTAAAAGGAAAAGCATATACATGTACTACATATTCCTTATCCTAAAAGCACTACCTAGTTGTTGTGTGTAAATATGATAATTTATCAGCTTTTTTGTATTTTATTTTGTAGGACACATATTTAGAATCTACCTGTCTTTATCAGGCGTCCAGCTAGCCTCCACCAGTCGTAGACAGGCACCAATGTAATCCTGCCAGTTACTCCAGTGATCTGGGCTGCAATTTAAAAACATTTCACTTTTGTAATTTTGTAAAGTAAAAATTCATAGTATATCTGATTGAGACCAAGCAGGTCTTTTATTAGCCACTGTGAAACAGGGACTTTTCTATGAAAATTGTTCACAGCACTTTAGGGGGAAAAAATGCAAAACTGGACAAGAGGTCTAGCTTAGCCTGTTAATGTGCTTTTATTATCATAAACATTAGATCTGTACAACATAGTAAGTATTGCAGTGTCTTACTTTTCCTTGAGGAGTTTCTTGTACTCCCTGTTCACTTGTGGCCATCGCTCCAATTTTGTATACAAATCTGCTGTTTTGTTTTCTCGGAAATTGAATTCACTTGTAAGTTTATCTGATAAGACAATAACAGAAAGAAATAACAAGATTTCCTTTGTATGGAGTAACAACCGATCATATTAAGTAAGTGCTAGTTGCTATAGCTACACAGCGTTTTAATACTATTTCATTTTGCATTAAGGGTCTGACTTTTATCAAGGTGCCAGGAAAGTATCAACAATTCATTTGTTGGTCAAACCCTGAAGGGATTAGTATGATGCCATTTTGTTACCCAAAGTCAATGTAATATTTACATGACAAGATGGGTTTTTTAAAGGAAATTATATAAAAAGTTCCGAATTAACATTTAAATTAGCATAAATCTTGACTTCAATTAGCAGTTTAAATAGTTTTTATCAGGCTACATAATCATACTACATGATGTTGTTGGAATTTTCAAATTATTAGACAGTACACATATAGAATTCTTATACAGGAGGTATCTAGGTTCAGATGGTATACTTATTAAAGGCTAACATTCCTTACCTCCTAGTGGCCCCTCAACTACTTTTAAAGCATCTTCCCACTTCTCAAGAAGTTCTAGAATGATGAGGTATATCTGTACCTCTGAAAAACAGTATTTACACATCATCAAACAGAAAATCACTTTCAAAATATTATGCAATAATTGAACAAGACCACAAACATGATATAAAGAGTTAATTGAGTACACCTAGAGAATCCAATCAAGAGAGACATTAACAGGAGAACTCCGACAGTTATTTCCCCTGTAGTTGAGCCTTGTCTGGAATTTAAGAAATCACAGAAATTAAATAGGCTCAACATGCATGTTTTTAGAAGATTTTGATTCTCCTAAGTGTCCACACACAAGATATGTCTGTGCAGAATTGGTACATAAATGTTACCTGCTTCAGCTGTTATCTTTTCCTCCTCAATATATTTTTTGGTCATACGCTCAGCAAGAGGCAGAAACATGCCCTTGGCCAACTTCTCATCTTGGTGACCCTTCAAAGGATAATATAATACATTGAATGGCAATTTGTTTCAGTGAAACACAAGCTGTTTAAAACTAACACCTCATTAATCATATTTGGTGTCAAAATGGCTTTCAAAACAACAAAACTATGATATACAAATGTACATTGAAAGGAATATTGTTTGACTTACAGTAGATGAAATTATGGGTTTTAATGTTTCTGAATTATACTGGATTTAAATTTGAAATCTTATCAATGTCTTATAGGGCCAAAAAAATGTAAGTTTCAGGTACCCAGACCAAACTTAGTATTTATTTCTGACCATTTGATCTCACTTGAATTCACTCAAATGTCACATTTGTCATGGGGCTCCCATGGGTGGCATAAAATTTACCTGCATCACAATACTCATAACAGCCCAGAAGTAGTAAGGATTCTTCTGAGGCTGCAATCTGTGTAGTGTCATAGCTGTCTGCTGCTGCTTTTTGTAGTCTCCGAGGCGGACATAAGCCATGAACAGTGAGGACAAAATGTCCTCATTGTCTGGCCGATTCTTGTGAGCATTTTCATACAGGTCTGCAATTAGATCCACTGGGAAAAAAATAAAGACATCATCATCAATTATATGTGGACTGAAGATGTTTTTTCCCCAGTGTTAAGCATAATGAATAAGGTAAAAATGCTTTTATATTAAAGGAATTTCCATAGAAGGGAAATGACTAGTACTAAATGGGCAAGGATATTGTCCCTATTCATACAGTTTGAACAGGAATAATCCACCTGTTATACTTTTAATTCTAAATGTTTTTATGACAAAGTAAAACAGAAACGGTGAGTTTAAAGGTAACATATACTTGATGGTGGCAAATTTTCTCAAAAACAGCAGCCATTCTGAAGTCTATGTGTAACAGAAATCTGTAGCTTTTTCCATTACACTTTAAAACATATACTAGACTTAGACAAACACAACCAAAAACATGTATACCGGGTATGCGTATCCTAACCACTTTGTTTTAATAGCATGAATTTTGTCAATAGACCACACATTAGTTTTCTAGACAATAAAGGATAGCTGCGTCTCTGTCTAACTTGGGTTGAGGTAATTAACTTTCAAGATTTATACAATTACACCAGCTTATTTAGATCACATACTTGTTACAGACACACAACCCCGATTTGTAATTATGTTGGTTATATATCATATCTATCATATGCATGTTTCATCAGATGGAAGAAGCTCTTTCTTTTTGTATGTCAGTGATTAATTTTGGGTACATTTAAGCAATGAACTGATTCCAAGTAGCCACATGGCATTCATTTGCCTATGAATGTTAACTGAAAGCAGCTCAATATATGTATGCTTCAAATTTTTGGAATATAGTTAATCTTGTAGAAAAATTAACTGGTCAAAATTCAACATTCAGTTCAATCAGCTATCTGTCCATGAAGTGTAGGGGTATCTAAGGTTAAAATTAAATCAAGGATAAGAACAAAACCAAAGGTCAAGTGGTCATCCCATATATAAAGGGTATATCCGAAACCATCCAGAGGATATATCGGGGTCATGGCATAGCAACAGCCATGAAGCCCCACAGGACGCTTCACAATATCCCAATACACTCTAAGGATAAAATACCTAAAGAAAACGTTGCAGAATGCGTATAAAAAAAATTGGATGCAAAAACTGTGAAGCATCATAATTTGAAAGACTGGAAAGCAATTTGGGGTCCGACTTGGTGAACACCGGAAAGATATAGAAACCCAAGAAGGTAGGAAATTCACCAGATCAGAAAGGAAGCAGTCGAAGTCCCAGATAAATAAATCGGCAATCACAGACAATGCGACACACAGAAAAATCAAGTGATTGACAGGGATAACTCCAAAGTTTTGGACAAAGAGAACAATCTGTTCAAGCAGCAGATAAAGGAAACCATCTGCATATGCTGCAGGGGGCCAGTTCTAAATCGAGACGAGGGGGCTCAAAGACTCTCGCACATCTATGACCATGTGTTAACAAAGTGTAGCTGAATCGAGTCATTTTGGTACATGTATTACAACTATTGCAATACGCTTACAGCGAAGCCGAATCAACATCAATTTTATGGACAACTCATACAAATTTTACTCCTTTTAATTTGTGTGCATACGCTTCACTGGTCATTTGTCTGATTGTACTAGTCATCGAAACGTCACAAAGAAAATTTTATTGGTTGTTTGAAAAGAACTTTTCATAATAAATAACTCTGTATTTAACTAGAATAAGAAAATAAATATGGAAAATAAATTGAAAAAATCACGACAAATCAATCAACGTAACAAATGAATAAATAACCAATGAACATGAATTAATTATATCCATACTTACGATAAGCTATTAAATGTTTGTCGGATATATTGATGTAATCATCTGAATTTAAATACCATCATGATCAGAAGAAAAAGAGAGAAAAACACTGTATAATCAGCTCTTATTACAGTTACAGTGTTTGTTGAACAAGGATTTATTTGACCAAAGCTAAATGGGATTTTTCTTTCATTGAGCATATTTATCTTCAGGGATAGTACTGAAATAACCAATTAAAACCATAATTGTTAGTGCAGAAATCATTCACACTGTTTAAGGTCTCAATTAGCCTCAAATTGAAAATATTGAGATAGGAAAAGGCAACAGCAGATTTGGTACTACATGTAAATGATTTCTATATGCTGAATATCAAAACAGATAGGTATGGAAATCTGAAAATCCATGTAGGATAGATAGGTATGGAAATCTGAAAATCCATGTAGGATAGGTCAATAGGGTTTTCAGATGTTCAGCCCAAGAACAATGATAAAATATAACCGTATCCTTAGGAATAACTAAGAATGTTGGCAAAATATAACAATATATGTCTAATATATTAGAAAGCTACATGTAGGTTACACCGATACCTATCAAGTCAAAACAATTCAATGTTATAAAATATCCATTGTAAAACTATCTCTGTTACATGTAAGTCACCTACATTTATAGACCTCCCGGTAGCAGATAGACATAGCCTGAAGTGTGGCCTCATCTGTAGGGTTTTGGGCATGTATATCCTTAAGCAGTATAGCACTCTCATCATGTCGTCCTAATCTCAGCAAAGCAAGAGCCTTGAGTACCTACAATTGAATACATTGAATACTGTGAGATAATAAAATTTAACGTTTGCTTGTAATTCAGCCAATGTAATAAATTCAGATATTCTACTGTTGTGCAGGGGCCATATATATCCTTCAATTCTGTATCTTCATTCATATAGAAAGTGTTTATTTTAATTGTGGAATATGGTTTAGGCTTGATAAATTTTTCTCATTCCAGAGCATGCATCCTCTTCTCATTCATGAAAATATATTGATATTTTTTAATTAAGAATCAAAATACATGCCCTGAACTTCAATGAACTTTTCTCATTAACAAATTCATTTTTCAAACAAAACTTTTAAATCATAAGATGGTCTAACAGCGAAAAGAAGTAATGTTTGTCAGGCTTTATCAAACATATGTTATGAATAATTATTGTGAAAAAATGATACATTTGTACTGACAAGGGACACTGATTTTTATTCAAACTAAGTGCAAAAGAATGACCTAAATAATATTTGGCCCTAAAGGGAATGACTCAAATTGTTGATGGGCCATAAAACAATACAAAAATACATCCAATCAAGTCCATTCATTCTCTCTTTAAAATGTTTATGCTGAATATCCAATAGAGAATTATATATATAAATGTAACTGACTCTTGCACACTGTAAATCCTTCTGTTTCTTCAAAACTTTGTCTGCCTCTTGAATTGCCTTCTTGTTGTTTCCATTGTCTAGACAATCTGAATGTGACAAAGCAAATTATATTGATCATATTGAAGTACATGCAACAAGTTTGTTTTGAACTATTTAAAAGTTTTAAAGACCAATACTACTACTTCAGAACTATGTGTAAGGTATTGACAGGTTTGTATGAATAATTTCACATTCAATCACTTTAAAAATGTCCATCTTGATTATTGATTATGGATTTTTTCCACAAAGTTTATATTCTCATGGGAAGTGAGAGTCTGCCCTTTCCAATTTTGATAACAAATTCCGTAATCAATTTAATTGATTCACCGCTCAACTCAAGTGTCAATTGTATACAATGTAAAGTTTTCATTTTTAAGTCTTTTTTAATTTATTTTTTATATGATTGTAGTAATTGTTGTAATCTATTTATTATAAAAGAAAAGCCGATGTTTAATCAATAATTCTCTCATTTTATATGAAAATAGGGTTGTCACCTTATTTTGGTATTCAGTCCCATATATTTGTTAATTGAATATGCAATCGATCACAGACCGGTTTACTAATTCCGATTACAAGGTTAGGCAAGATAATTGTCCATCACTGTGCGAACTGACGCGATGAGAAACGACAACAATCAGATATGTTACCATCAATGATGCATAAATGCTTTACAGAACGTTATTATGTAACGTTTCTTCGTTAACAATGACACAGTCTGAAAATGCTGTCAACTAACTTCTACTCGACTCGACTAACTTCCATAAGATTTTAGCATTCACTCAAGTCTTTACGAATGTCAAAATGATCCATTACAGAACTGGTTTATATTAAAATCAGAATACAACAAAAAACATAATACTGAAGCGCTTTTTCATAACTCGTTAAATGATCGGATTTTTTCTCCCACAACATTCAATAGAACTCGGTAAAGTAAATGTCATGGTACTTTGACTTTGACGTTTCCTGTCCAGGTTGTTGCATTTTTGTTGTGGTAGCTGAAACTTGTTCAGAAATTTTAATATTGCAACGTAATGTGCGAAATCGGGATATTTGTGAATAAATAGCATTATTAAAGATTGCCATGTGTTGCTCAAAAGTTGACTGGTTTGTCTGAACGAGTTTAAACCGACCATAAATAGGTCTCAATCTTCTTTCATTCACATCCACATGGCTACGAGACGCCATCTTCTTTGTTAATCTCGTATTTTCTCGTAGAAGATGAGATTATCAGCTTTGATATTCCTCCGCCAAATTACTGAACTTTTATCAACAACAGGTACATCAATGCGACGAAAATTATATTTATGAGTATGATAAGAATAATTAAAAACTCTCTATGGTATTAGACATCTTGTATCAACAGCAAATGAATAAAAATCCTTAGTTACTATTTTATATACGGAAGTTACATTTTACATAGTGAGGTGTTCCACGGCACTTCCTGTTTGTATGCAGTTTATAACTTTATAGAACTTCAGCAATTTTCAGTTCATTGTGCAATAATTTCATAACAACACCATTGAGGTAATTTACGCTTAGCTAGGTAACATAAATCGCATTTAGAAAGGAGAATGGCGACAGCATGTGAAAGTCACAGTGAAACTAAATCAGACGTTGTGATAAACGTTTCTAAGCAATGCAGTTTGACGTTGAAACAATATGATGAGCAGAAGAGGTGTTGGCCAAAGATTGGGAGACACATTTTGGCGACATTTGATGAAAAAACCATTATTGTATACCAAGCTTTCAAACCGGCCATAGCAAAATATGCCGTTGAAAACCAAAGGTAAGAAACCTGTATATATTCATGGTAACTTTCTTCAGCTTCTTAAGTTCTTTTTATCCTAGCAAATAAAAAAAATCAATAAAAAAAATCACTGTACATAAGTTACTCACTACAGCACAAGACCCACTTCCGTTATCGTCGGTATCGACGGAGGAAGTTAAAGAGATGAAGATGGATGAAGCTGATGTATCTATTACTAAAATCGGGAATAAAGTGTGACATCCATCTGTGACGAGCAATCTGTTACATGGCTCCGTCTGAACAGGCGTAGTACGGTCACCCTAATGAGTGTCCTCCGAGTAATGAGTGTCCTCAGAGTGTCCTCGGAGGTTTTTGCGCGCCCGCAAATTCGTTATAAGATTTTTTTCATTTTTTTCTTCTGATTCCTAAATATTGTTCATATATCTAGGTGTGTGCAAAATTTAAGGTCGATCGTAACAGTACAAATTACCGAAATATGTCGATAAAAATGCATATTTGGGAAGAATGAGTGTCCTCGGAGGTTTTTGCGCGCCCGCGAATTCGTTATAAGATTTTTTGCACTTTTTTCTTCTGATTCCTAAATATTGTTCATATATCTAGGTGTGTGCAAAGTTTAAGTTTGATCGTAACAGTATAAAGTACCGAAATACGTCGGTAAACACTATTTTCACGAGGTTGGATTGAGTGTCCACGGAGGAATGAGTGTCCAGGTAAGTGTTCGCGAGCCCGATAATTCGTTAATCCATTTATTTTACTTCTGTCTTCGGATTCATAAATATTTTTAACTTACCTAAGTGTGTGCAAAATATCAGGTTGACCATAACAGTATAAAGTACCGAAATACGTCGATAAATACTATTTTCACGAGGGTGGATTGAGTGTCCACGGAGGAATGAGTGTCCAGGGAGGTGTTCGCGCGCCCGGGAATTCGTTAATCGATATTTTTTACATCTGTCTTCGGATTCATAAATATGTTCAACTTACCTAACTTTGTGCAAAATGTCAGGTCGATCATAACAGTAGAATGTATCGAAATTTATCGTTAATTATATGCCTACGATAACAGCGAAGAGTTGTACATGTAGTTATATACGAGTTACTTCCCTTCCAAAGCATTCTCTGCCTATTTTGATAGCCGTTACTAAAGGTATTTAATTTTGTAATACTTGTTAATTTCGTGATATATTTATATTCATAGTACTTACGACAATGTGTAATAAAATGTCTGTTGCTGTATAATACACATACGACCATCAACGTATATTGTTTGGTTTCAACAAATGTTATTGTGTTAACAAAAGGAATGATGTAACGTCAGATGTTGACCCACATACGAAAAGTCGCGGATTTTGCTACATCAGCGCTATATAAAATCTGAATAATTATCAAATATATATGTTATTATATACCATCTTATTCAGATTTTGTTTATCTACCTGAATATTTCAGTAGAATATATAAAAGTTTCGATTGCAACGTAATAATCAACGATATAACGTCAAAATTCGCCAATACTCCAATGTAATGTGTAACGTAAACGGGTTACGCGTTTAAATAAATGAATATTTAAAAGTAAAATATGGGCCCATTCTGCAGATGTTTGAATTTTAAAGCTATATAACAATGTTTTCTTGAATAATATGATACTTGAAAGTCGATATCATTTTTGAAAGTTGAAACAAATACAGGAAACCAACATGTATCATTTGTGTAATGTTTTTAGTTGTTCAAAATGTCCGTTCATTAGTACTATGATTTCTAGATGAATATGTTATGTCGTTTGCCTGTATTCGATTTGGTGCAAGTTCTTAATCTATTTAAACAATCTGCAAAAGTTTATAGAAATTGGAGCGACAGTATTTGGGGAATTAAGATATTACTGGGTCTAGCCGTTATGTAACGGTCCGTAAAATGCGACGTTTTAAGAACAAATACCGTATTTGTGACTTTCGAATGAAATGACACATCTGGTTTTTTTAATGAAAAAACATGCATTGGCAAGTTCTCTGACTCAGCTTTTTGAAGCATAACTTAGATATATTGTTTGTCCTAACACCACTGCACAGCATTGATTTCCCCATGTCTAGCCGTCATGTAACGCTACGCTGTTTTGCGTCGAACACATTAATAAGAACGTCATTTCCTTGTTTTGTTTATGAACAAAATTTAACGTTTTTCGTGAATGTTTTATGGTTGTTTTTTACACGCAATACCAGCCAAAACATGCATACGTATTAATAATATCTCAGGGTTTCATTTTCTGTAAATTTTCTAACTAACCGTTTTCAAATGTCCGACATATTGTGTGTGAAGGATGTGGCATTTATTTAACGATTTAGTTTTTCATAATTCTTGCATAAGCAGAGTGAACGAAATAACTGGTTTAAGATGAAAAGGGTGATATTTTCTTAATGGAGAGACAAACATATGTATAATATCGTTACTTTAAATTTGAAAACATCCAACATTGACAATAATTTGACGTCGATGGCTTCAAAAATAACATGTGGGGAATTGATTTTATTGCACATATTTGTAAGAAAAAAATCACTACGTGGTGAATGATGACGTTACGTCAATCACTTTTAAGGAAAACGCAGAGAGAGATATCTAATAAAGACATCAATGACTCAGCTCTATGTATTCGAAGCAAAAGATGACGAAACCGCGTGTATTTTTTTTAATTTAAAATTGTAAGGAAATGGTTGAATTGTTGTAATAGTTTTCCACATCATCTTAAGGTGTGCAAGATAAGAAATTGACCCTGTAAGACACGTCTTTTTTTCTTTTTTTTTTTTTGCATATTTCTAAACATAACAAAAAAAAATGTCTACAACTTTGATTTACAGTAAACAGGTACATTCGACACAAAGAAGCATTTTCCATAGGTTACTAAAGCAGGAATCTTAGAGTTAAAGTATCCCGTATGAGGTCACAATGACGTCATTCTCTTTTTGTGACGTAATACTTTGATGCGGATGCTGGTAGTTGGGTGCTTGTTCTACATGGGCGCATCAAGAATGTCGGCAGATACTAATAAGCATGCGCTATGTTTTATAATGTGAACACATGAAGACGCGTTGGTGTTTCAATTGTTGAAATTATCTGTAAATTATTTTCAAACATTGAAATCAGAATTTGGTACAACTAGTGATAATCGGGAAGCGTTACAACCCACACACACACAATATAATCGAATATTGTCACATCCTTTCACAATGATATCAACCCCATCGACTAGTGTCACTCTCCTGTCACAATGATATCAACACCACCGACTGTTGTCACCCTCCTGTCACAATGATATATAAACCACCGACTATTGTCACCCTTCTGTCACAATGATATCAACACCACCGACTATTGTCACTCTCCTGTCTCAACGATATCTACCCGACCGACTATTGTCACCCACCTGTCACAATGATATCAATACCTACGACTATTGTCACCCTTCTGTCACAATGATATATAACCTACCGACTATTGTCACCCTTCTGTCACAATGATATATATACAGACACGGGCACGAGACAGTAATTATCTTATTATAATTATCTATCACCTTGCCCTAGTAAACAAACGGCGTGTCCCGTGTATACCCCCGCAGGGTAGGTTCGCCGCCCAGGTGTTATATACGCCCACACATTTATTGTCAGGTGTTAATATTTTATTGTTTATTAGCTTTAAGCATTGCCAAGACAAGACAAGATTTTATTTTTTTAAACCACAATTTACATGTGATATTAAGAAAATATACAATGGGTACATTCAAGATAGAGTATGTGCTGTTTTAACCAGGAGAACAGACTCTCTCTATTACTATATTAATATATTTGCATATTTTAACTAGTAAAACTTTGTTATGTGTTGAAAAAAGTTGCTGGAATTTTAAACAGTTTGGTTGCCTGCTATAATAATTTGGAATATACAATTTTCTTTCATTTGAGAAATTTGGACAATTAAACATATAATGAAATTCATCTCCAACTTCAGTATTACACAAATGGCATATTCTATTTCTTCTCTCTTTATTTAACCATCTTCCTCTTGCGGCTCATAGGCATATTATAACAACATTTATACAATGATATCAATGACATAGAATAATCCTATAGAATAATATGGATATGAATATTCTAGTCAATTACCCTTATAAAATGAAGCATAGGCATTATATGTATGGCATAATGCGATGACATTATACTATTTATATATATCTTTAAAGCTGAAAATGGATAGTAAATATGATATGTCATTATAATTTGCAGGGGTGCACTAAAAAAACATATTTTTAGATAAGGTTAATAATCATTTTGGTATTATTGTATTGATAAAAAATGACATCTATAAATACCGTTTAGTGATGCGTATTTCCGAGCGGATAGGTCGGTACCTTTTTGTTTCTTAGAGTATTACACAATATTTATACAAACCAGTAGCCGTATGATAATCTATAAACTTTATAAACGGACGATGCTTCGGGATATCTTCTCAAGAGTCATGATGCAAGTCGAGGAGTGTCCCGCCCCGCTCGACGCGTCCCCCGCCCCGCAATTAAAAGGCCGATAATTACCTGTGGTGCTTGCGATATGAGGGGTGACACTTATTAGATAATTACCGACAAATACCTGGTTATGTCACTGATATTGGACAGGTGCGCGACTGATGTGATAATTACCTATAAGTAACTAGTTCAATCGAGCGGGGACAAATGTCACACCTGCACTCGTTAGTTCACTCACCGTAACTCAGTACCAATTCAATTAAATTCAATTTATAACCAAATGCACATTGCATATAGAAATATACATATACTTCACAAATTGGCAATAGTATGAATGTATAATTGTAATATAATACTATAAATAGCTGAATAATTACACATAACTATATTATGTCATATTAACACCATCATGGAGAAGATTGATATAGGCCTATTTGTAATCTTAAAAAATTTGTGAAAATGAAATGCGATTACACACTTTTGTTGAACACAAAACATAGATCATAATCTCATTATACAGTAACAAGACGCTTATAGCAAGACTTTGATATAGCTTGTATATTCATAATTTACGACTGTTTCCGAGGCACTGCATTATATGCGCGTGCAATCTGTATAAGACAGTTTATCGTTTTACGCTCTAAGTAAGTATTTGAAAATATTATAGTCAAATCACAGTTTTTCAGTTATTGTATAAGGCAGTTTATCAATCGTGTTACGCTCTAAATAAGTATTTGAAAATATTATAGTCAAATTACAGTTTTCAATTATTGTATAAGGCAGTTTATCAATCTTGTTACGCTCTTGGTAAGTATTTGATTACAGTTTCGATTGTACAGAAAATAACCTATTGTTGTATTTCAGGGTTTTAGTGCTTGTATGAGTATAAGTATCAGAATTTACTTCTTATCAATAGTCGCTACGTTTTAAACAGATTATTGAAATATATCAGTCTTTATGTGATCATAATAGTCGCTTAACTATAAATTGTGTGTGTGTGTATATATATATATTAATATTTAACTCATTTATATATTTGATACAAGGTTACTTTGTTAGCTAGTAATACATTTGATATAAGGTTTCTTTGTTAACTAGTAATATATTTGATGTAAAGTTTCTTTGTTAGCCAGTAATATATTTAACTCCTTCGTTTATCGGTCGATATAAGGGTCTTTTTGTTAGCTAGTAATATATTTGATATAAAGTTTCTTTGTTAACTAGTAATATATTTGATATAAGGTTTCTTTGTTAGCTAGTAATATCTTTAACTCCGTCGTGTATCGGTCGATATAAGTGTTTTTTTTGTTAGCTAGTAATATATTTGATATAAAGTTTCTTTGTAACTCCGTCGTTTATCGGTCGATATAAGTGTCCACTCTGAGGACACTCATTACTCGGAGGACACTCATTAGGGTGACCCGGCATAGTACGAAGTTAACGAAGCCATGTAACATATGATTTTAATCAGATTGGTAACAGAGGTAATTATTTTTAATAATGGTATTAATGAAAATTCATACATAATGTAGTTGAACTTGACTGGGTCGATATTGGCGACCAGGTAGCTCAATTGGTAGAGCGTCCATCTAGAATTTGGAAGATTCCAGTCTGGCGGTGCATAGTTCTGCTCCTGTTCCATTTAGTGCCAATTCCAAGAAAAGTCCTTGTTTCAAGTACTAGGTGAATGCTTGGCAAGGAGATTCCCAAACCTTGGTTCTAAATAGTGTTGTCTTCCAGGGCAAAGACTTAGAAAAAGGAGGGAGGAATGTAGCATAACTTATATACAATGTATATGATTACTGGACTGGGTCAATCGTCAACCACCAGGTAGCTCAATTGGTAGAGAACATGGTCATCTGTCTAGAGTTCGGAAGGTTCCGGATTCAACCAAAGTCTGACCTAGCATTTTTCCGCTCCTGTAACAATAGTATTCCAAAATTTACTTGCATTCATAGTTTGATTGGTTTTTTCAGATTTGGAGGACCTGATTTTCAACTTGACAGAATGTCCTGGATCAAAACCAGTTTCCTGTGGATGATGTACAGATGCGGCTGGGCAACTAAGCATAACCAAGAGAGAGTCTTAGCTGTTAGGATTACTAGAGATGGATTTGAGGAAATTTTAGCCAATGCTTACACAGTTGAGGTAGCAGTCTATATATATATTGTATGAGATATCGTCTATTCTAACCCAATATTTTGTCAGTATACAGGTACATTGTATTTTTCCAGTAATTTGATTTATTAAATCCTCCCAGTACATATACATTGAGCAGTAATTAATTATACATAAGTGATAGTGCACAATTTAACTTCCCCTTGAAGGTTATAAATCAAACAGGTTTTAAATGGATAAAATATGGAAAAAAACCACTTTTATATTTAATAAAAGGTATATATATTTTGTATATTTTTATAAGCTAAGCTGGATCGCAGGGCCATGATAAAGAGCTTTATGTTCTCTTACAACATCTGTGATTTCTAGCTCACCTGGCTTAAAGTGCCAGTTGAGCTTATGGTCCATCATCCATCAACTTTGATCGACTTCTTCTTAGGATCTGGAGAACCTAGGACCATGACATTTGGCCAGTAGGTACCTGGGACAGAGTGCTATAAAGTTTCTTCAAATAAATGACCATGACCTACTTTCAATGTCACTATGGTCAAATATGTAAAAACCTTTAAACAACTTCTTCTGAATAACCAGGAGACCCAGAGTAATACTACGTAACCAGTAGATTCCTTGCATGAAGTGCTAAAACATTTCCTCAAATAAATGACCTTGACCTACTTTCAAGGTAACATGGTTTAAAATTGTAAAAAGCTTTAAACAACTTCTTCTGAATAACCATGAGTCCTAAAGCAATGATATTTAGCTAGTAGAAACCTGGGACAGATTACTGTAAAGGTATCCTCAAATAAATGACCTTGATCCATCTCAAGGTCAAAGGGGAAAATATGTTAAAACCTTTAAATAACTTCTTCTGAATAACCAGGAGGCCCAGAGTAATAGTACTTGGCCAGTAGGTACCTGGCATAAAGTGCTATAATGTTTCCTCAAATAAATGACTTTGACCTACTTTAAAGATCACAAGTGTCACATGCATTAAAAACATTTAAACAACTTCTTTTGAATAACCAAGAGGCCTACGGTAGAGCAATGATATTTGACTAGTAGGTACCTGGGACAGAGTGCTATAAAAATTCTAAAATAAATTACCTTGACCTACTTTCGAGGTCACAGGGGTCAAATATGTAAAAACTTTCTAACAACTTTCTTCTGATTGATTATATAACCAGGAGGCCTATATTAATGATACTTTGCCAGTAGGTACCTGGGACAGAGTGCTATAAGGTTTCCTCAAATAAATGACTCTGACCTTCTTTCAACGTCACAGGCTTTAAAATTGTAAAAGCCTTTAAACAACTTCTTCTGAATAACCATGAGTCCTAAAGTAATGATATTTAGCTAGTAGGAACCTGGAACAGATTGCTGTAAAGGTTTCCTCAAATAAATGACTTTGACGTACTTTAAAGATCACAAGTGTCAAATGCGTTAAAAACATTTAAACAACTTCTTCTGAATAACCAGGAGGCACAGAGTATACGTACTGATACTTGGCCAGTAGGTACCATGGACAGAGCAATAAAAAGTTTCCTTAAATAAATGACCTTGATCTACTTTCCAGGTCACAAGGGCAAAAAGTGTTAAAATCCTTTAAACATCTTCTTTTGAATAACCAAGACTTGGAGGCCTACGGTAGAGCAATGATATTTGACTAGTAGGTACCTGGGACAAAACTGTAAAAACTTTCAAACAACTTTCTTCTGATTAATTATATAACCAGGAGGCCTATATTAATGATACTTGGCCAGTAGGTACCTGGGACAGAGTGCTATAAGATTTCCTCAAATAATTGACCTTGACCTACTTTCAAAGTCACAGGGGTCAAATATGTAAATATTTTTAAACAACTTCCTCCCTATACCAGGAGGCCCTGGGTGATGATAGTTGACCAGTAGCTAGCGTGCTGGGATAGAGAAGTATAAAGTTTCATTTAGTCCGTAACATTCTTATAAGTTAAGCAAAGGAGGCTCAATATATAGTAATATTTGCAAAAGTACTTTTATTGGTATATTTTCCCATGATTGCTCAAATATCCAGGTGAGCGATACAGGCCCTCTGGGCCTCTTGTTCATTTAAAAGTCTATATACATGTACTAGGTTTATCCGATTCAAATCAGACCCTTTCACTCCAACTTTGTACCTCTACAATACAGAAACATGTAGGATTTTACAACACCACATTTTATAGCGCCTTGTGTTTATGTTATCTTAATTCACTTCAACCAGTCTCTGTGACACCTTCAAAGCATTTGGGTATTGAATTAAATGTTATATGAATGTGACCCCTGATGTTGAAAGAGGTGCAGAGTTAAGGATTTGATTTAATCAGAATGATAGATCTCTTAGTCATGTGAACTTAATTTTGAAAAAAATAATTAATAAGGCTGCTTGGCCTATTCTAATTGGTTGTTTGTAAATCAAATATACATACATTGTACCGGTATATATACCTCATAATCAATGGGTTAAAATTATCAAAAAGTTCTGATGGTTTAAAAGTTTTATTACATGATAGCAAATTCTGAACTATTTGTTAAAAACCCTACAAGACAAAACTCGCAAATGAAATATTTATATAATATCAGGGTACTTTGTTGAAGTTGGAAAAAAACTAACTGTACCAGATATAAAATCTCATGCAAGAGTCAGTTCATTTAAGCAAATCTCCAATACCAAGTATTATATTCAACTAATTTTTCGAAATCTTTTAAATATTTATCATATTAACATGTACAGTTTCAGAAGGCAAGACAAATTCAGACAAAAGATATAAGAGTGCGGCTCCAATGGGACCCTGATCACGGTCCTAGTTACAGTAATCAGCAGAGGAAAGCCATCCAGCTAGGACTGAAAGGAGAGGTAGACCTTTCTTATATGAATATTATAAATCTACTGACAATGAAGTGAAACTGTAATTATGTCAAAATAATAATTTACTTTTATAACACAAACTTGCTAAATGCATGTTACATGCTTACAACACTGTTTTGTCAATATTGGCAGGGCTAGACAACTTGATGACATGGTGGATGCTGATCCCCAGTGGATAAAGGGAATTAGTACTCCTGATGATGAACAAGCTAGGGTTTTAATGGGCTTAAGAAATGGGGGCCTTTCATTGTTGTCATAATGATTGTTGAAAATTTGATAAATATCCAGATTCTATTATCTATCAGTTCGGCAAATGCGTAAATACCAAGTACAAATACATTGTTTTTAGATCCGTTCAGCTTAGAATCAGAACAGAGCCACAGCCACAGGTTAAAGCATAAGATCAAACATTGGCTATGCTTGTATATATATTGATTACTTTTAATATTTTGATGCAATTGTAATTAACTTTTACAAGACTAAGGCAATGTTAAAATTGAATAAGTAAGTCAGTCTGACTTACCCAATTTAATTCTACCACTGTCTGTGTGAAACTTTAAAAAAAAATGTTAGTGTAACTGAACACTGATAAAATGGTATTTAAACATGCAATATAAATTTCAGTCATCTTGAAATTGATACCATGTGTCATACCGTTTAACCTTATGAACTTTCAGATACTACAGAAATACAGCAGTGATTGGATTGTCAACATTACTGACATCACTGATTTGGTGAAAAGTATGAAATCAGATTTTGATGCTGGTGGTGCAGAAAAGCTCTGGACTCCAAAAGAAATCATCTATAATGTTAGTGACAATGCAATACGAGAAAGAATTAATCTGTCCAGTGTGTCGGACTGTGAAGAAGATCAGTGTTCTGAAACTCAACTTCCCAATGCATCAACTTCTGAAACAAAGCCTGAATCAAGTTCATGATGAGGAGTATGGGGATTTATATTTTACACCCATCGATGACAAATCATATCATTGTATACTTTCCTGAATGTCAAGTATGACTTGTTTCAATGTCAATATAAATCAAAATACCACTCATTTTCTAGTTCTAGTCAAACGGACAAGGAAAATGAAATCATTAATGAACTTTATCTAATTCTGAAGATTGTCATTGTTGAATACATAATTAACTTTTATTACATTTTTTTTCCAATGAGATATTGGATTTTATATGTTTGTTTTAAATGATGTCTTGAACAATGTGACAGTTTCAAAAGTTGTGACTGTCGCAGTGTGAACATTTCACATTTCATTATTATAATAATTGTTATTGACCAATCAGGTCAAATGCAGGTGAAGCGATGGTAGCATAATTAAGTAAATGTGGTAAATCATTGCTACAACATGACTGTATTAGGTGAACCAAACAATTGATAACATCTGTTGAAGCAAATATTATTTTAGATAATAGCAGATAAAAACAGATAATGGTGGAATTGAATCACATATATTCAAATAGTGCATATCCTTGTTGTCAAGCATTACCTCAATAAATATGGCACTGAAGATTATTTCAATAATATATTAATTCACCCACTTTCTGATGCAGTAATATTTTTGGCATTGTATGTGTACTTTAAAAATGTAATAAATTAGTTTTCCCCATTAAATATCAAATAAATGTCACACATATGGCAGAATATGGTATACCATACTTGTGAAATAATTAGTTGGCAAAAGTGGTTGTTGGCCAGCTGATTGTACAGAATATTTACTATAGCAATAACGAATCGCAAGATTTGTTCAAACCAATATAGCAGCTGTGATAATTCAAAGTTCTATTTAATTTATATTTTTTTTTAGATATAAGTGAAAAATATGTTTTGTACATTTTGTACGGGTAGCATATATCATTGTATAAAAGAAATGTATAAATATATATCATACTTGCCAACCTCTCATTTTAAAATCTTTAAATGTGTTTAAATTAGTTAATTTGATAGAATAACAATGTAAACCTTCTGTCCTATGTAATGAACAATCAGTCAATTAATTGTATAATTTCATGATCAAAAAGCCAATGAAGAGGCTGGTATAATGGTATTATGTCGATTTCAAAAGGCAAACATGAGGGTAAAAAATCAGGATTCCCAAAAATTGAGACCTGAAGTGTTTTATTATAAGTCATGTTTAGCCTTCCTTTACAATTTAGTGCCTGTAGCACAGATTTTTATATTTATTTACATTCTATAATTATACAATGTTTTGTTTTAGAACAAATAAACTGTGATATTAAAAAAAATTGTGCTGACTATTTGTGGATGCTACATAAATGGTACTGTTGGTGGTATACTTTAAACCTTCTCTAACAAGGTTGTATAAGTTGAACTGGACAGAGTTGACCGTTGGAGACGAGGTAGCTCAGTTGGTCTGAGTGTTTGTCTCAAGTTTTAAGATCCAATTCTTGGTTACGTGCAGGGGTTGACACTAACTTTTAATAGGTGGTGGACCACAGGTCCACCTGCTCTCTTAATCTGGTGGACCTGGTTAATTTCTGGTGGACCTGAAAAATATTCTCAGATCTGGGGCGCTTTGCGCCCCGGTCGACGAGCGTAGCGAGGAGTGGGGGGTGGGTTCGGGAGGGGGTACCCCCCCTCCTGAATAAGAGGGGGGTATGGGGGTCCTCCCCCAATTTTTTTTAAAAGCTAGATGCAAAATCCTGGCATCTGAGGGTTTTAAACAAATAATGAAGGTTTTTTAATTTTCTGTAAAATACTTGTTTTTTCTCCTTATTTTTTTATTTTTTCCATTTATGACCAAGTTTTAGTAAATGACACAGAAACATGAAACAATTTTCTCCTTGTTTATTTTTTTTTACATAGCTCCCATCCAAAGGTGTTTGAAATTCTGACTGTAAATTGAGATAAAGATCATATGAAAAAATAAGGATAAAATAATATACTTTTTTATAGTATTATACCTTTTTTATATGATCTTTATCTCAATATACAGTCAGAATGTCAAACAAATTTGCCCCAACAGTAGTCTTTACGTATTTTGTTGCACCTCTATTCAATCCTTCCTGGACATTTCGGAATCATCTTCTGAGTGCAGCATACCCTACATTTCATTAAGTTTGTGTCAGTATCATTATTGAGCCATGTAAACGATTTTTCCATGACTCCTGAAAGGATATCATCCTTTTTGTTGCCCATACAAACTTCGTGTTGTTTTTGTTCTGGTGAAGTTTTTAACTCTTTTTTTGCCAGTGGTTGTAAACCAAGCCATTTAAAAATCGCGACACAGGCGATACGGTACTAGTCTAGTACAGATACTAAGTTAATCGACAGACACGATCACCTAAACGATATACGCTAGAAATTAAAACGTAACACGAAATTGTGAGGCTAAGTTTACCTTCATTTACCGGTTGACCACCGTGATCGTGACGTCATCGTCATTTTAGTGCTTATAATAGCGGCAAACTATACCACAAGCGACTCAAACGCTGAAAAGATTCCGACTTACCGCAAGCGGATTCACGCACTTCACTCGTCCAAGAATGATAACGACAACTTTTAGCGGGTTAACAACACGAAAATACGATACATTTTTTAACTAGATGGGATTTACGGCTGGCGAAGTAAATAAAGTCTTTATTAGTATATTTCTGAACAACATTCTCAAATATATATACACTAATCAAGTAATATGTGGTGGACCGGCGGTCTACCAGCTTTGGAGATTAAGTGGACCGTCCAAGATTTTGGTGGACCCGGTCCTCCGGTCTACCGTTAGTGTCGACCCCTGACGTGTAGGTGTAACGTTTTCTCCATCCTGCTATTGTTATATTAATGATTAACAGATCCATGACAGGTTATATAGATAAGGTTTCATGTGTTTGGGTATGAAGAAATAAAAATAAAAAGGAACTTGACTGGATTGATCAATTAAGGCCAGTAAGCCCAGTATATTAAGAAAGACGTTCTTATAGTCCTGGGGTTTCAATGTGTTCTGTTACACAAACATCAAGATTCTTGTAAGGAAGATGTTGACCTAATAAATGCAGTTTACAGAGGGAACAAAACAATTGAACCTATAACTATACACTAAAATATAAACTTGGGAGAAAATTTGAGTCTAATATCAAATAAATTATTAACATTTTGTGTCAACAGCAGCAGCACAATATGTTACATAATGTGATGAAATGGTAGTTACACAAATATCAAACTCTCAATAAAATGGTTAATATAAATGATCTCTATTTCACTACAGACAAACCATTGAGGATTCGTGTACACAGAGTAAATTATCTCCCCTTTATTTTGTGTTTGCTATGCAATGTACATTGTAAAATGTGATGGGACCGGGCAAGGTGATGTATTGTTGCTCGGTCAATAAGATCACTGTTATGTCTGGAGGTCAAAGGTTGGATCCTGGTCAGGGCTTGTTGTAATCTTACTCTCCTTGCACAGAACACTGTTGGTCAATATTATTTCACCTTTATTGCTTTTTTCATAAAAGGAATTCACAACATCCACTTTCCTTTTTTACACATAAATACTTTTTGAGTTTCCTCGGACCCTGATACCAGTCTTACACCAGATATCTATCTGTCAAAATGTCAAAGTCTGGTGTTAGGGCCAGAGGAAACTCTTTAGAAAACACAATAAACCAGATAAACTTGGATTATGAAGATTGATGACTGGATGGTCTCATGGTCTTCCATAATCATCTTCATTTAACAATCGGTGCTCAGCATATATATCATAAATAAATTTTCTTTTGTGATGATCAAGAGACATTAAGTGAAAGTATGTTTAAATATCTATCATCCATTTAATATGCATTCTTGTCTGTTCTCAGTTTTTTGTCAACTTTAACAAGCACTTGTGAAGTCCTAATCCCTAATGAAACCATAAAATAGTTTTCTGTATAATAAAAATGTATTACTATATTATTTTGAATACTGATATATGTTTAATAATTGATGCGGTTGCATTGTCTTTATGAACCACCTTCATAAAGGCTTTTTAGTTATAAATCAAACAAGTAATTCTGTTAATCTTTGATTCCGACTCCAGTGTCCTTTTGTAAATCACAGTAACATAGCATCCGTTGCATTCTCACTGCCATCCAGCTGTTGTTTGAAGGTTCCAGAATTCTCAAATTATCCATCATTGAAACCTTTACCAAGTGGCAATCTTGAAATCTTTCAGACAACTTCACCAGTTCAACGGGCGATATTTCCGATAACTTCGCCAGTACGAAGAGTAATCTTTCTAATTTTAAACCTAAGGTCAGAGACATCACTTTGGTGCTTGACCCTGCATGACTGCCTGAACCTTAGCATTTTCCTCTTGTTGTAGTGATGTCAACGTCTTGTTAACTACCTCCTGGATTTCCAGATATTTTCCTATACATTTATCAATGCAAACTGCTTCACTTTTGCTCAGTTCTGTATCCTTATCATTTGGTGGCATACATTTCTTCAAACACACACCTGATGCTCTGCAATAAAAGAATCAAAAAGAAAATAATTGAATGTTCAGACAATGACAACCATTCAAAGACAGCAGATGACATCACCTTGGTTTAACAGTAAATGTAATACAATAATACTGGGAGTCAGGTCATGGCCTACAGATGGTTCACTAGCTGGTGTTAGAAAACTGAACTATAGCAGGCTAAGAATTAGATCACCCGTGAGTTTGTGAACTTGCGGCAAACCGTTGGACAGTCATCATGAAAATGAATGTAGGTCTATGGGAGTCATTTATTTCACAGACCAAATTATCTATGAAGTTATTTTCTATGATGTGTACAATTCTACAATAAATATATATATATATAGTATTCAAGGAAAAAATATTTTGCTAAATTATTTTACTTCCTTTACCATTAATATTCTCTGTATTTCATGCTATCAAACACTAAAAAATGTAAGTAAAATTTCTGTAGATCTAGAAAAAATCATTATTTCATAGACCTATTGTCTATATATGTAAACTTTGGATGTTTAGAAGTCTTTGCCCAGATAGGATTACAACAAATCAACTTTTCACTGCTTGCCATAACCATGACTTTGGAATGAAGTAAAGAAAAATTTGAAAAATATACCAATCGGTCATGACATATCAATTTATATGATTTCACCAGGAAAGCTTCACTGCTTAGGACTTGCAGATCGGACAAGTGTATCACAATGATTTGACCATAGACTCTTCGCTGCAACCCGGATCAGTTGTGGTACTGACAGTACAGTGGCGGCAATGTATTGTGCCAAGGTATTTCATTTTTTTATTTTTTTTTTCAAGTTGTAACCAAAAAATGTTACTGTACTATGTTTTGACCTTTGACTCTTTGCAATGACCTTGACCTTGAAGAAACATTTATAATCCCGAAAGTGGTATGGGACACACTGCAGACCATTTGTGATGTATCCTATAGATTAACATTTGTCGCAGAAATATAGAGCGGTTCAGAAGCCTGAATTATCATTACAATGACCTGACATTACACCTGTTGCTGCAACATGTCTTGACAGTACTAATTGCTTATGAAGTTCTGTATAGAAACTTGAAATTTGCGATGGCATGAAAAACATGGAACAGACAGAAGAACATGGTGCAAAGCTGAAGGAATAAAATGAGAGCAAGCCCTATTGTGGTTTCTGTAAATCTTTTTCTTCGTAAGAGTCGCGGTATTTATAATAACCCTCACTATACAAACCTAAGAAGCACGCTGTTACACGAAGGACATTAACATTCGCTTGTAGCTATCAAACAATGTTGTTGCGCATATGTGTAGCTTTTAGTTTTACTATTTGATACGTCATTAACCAGTAACAGATACAACAGAACAGCAGTCAGTAGATTGTTTACCTTTGATATAGATCTTGCATCATTTCTACCTCCAATTCCTGAAGTAGCTTAATTTGTGATTCGTTAAAATTTTCCATACTTATATTATTTATACGTCTCCCTATAGTAACTAAGATGTCATTGGCCGAAACTTTATATGCAGCATTAAATTTTAGGGTAAATATACAGACTACACTACACACACGTGCAGTTTCTTCAAGGGAACCGGAAATCGATTTGACAAACTGGGTAAGGTGTGCACTAAAGTCCTGCTACACGACAAGACTTGACCAGAAGACTGCGGATGTGTTCAAAACGAGTTCGCAATAGGTGAATACTTTTAATAACCCCTAAATAGGCTAAAATTGTATTTTGTTTGAAGTTGTTCTGTTTTTCTTCAAAGTTCAAATGGTTATACAACATAACAATCTGGAGAGTGCTGGACAGCCATACAAGTGAAGGGATAGGGACAAACATGTGTCTATGGCATAATACATGTATACGTCGAGTAGTATCTAGAGGGTACGCTAGGTAGCTTCCAATCAGAAAAGGTGGAAAGTGTGAGATCAGTGGTTTGAGGCTGCCTGTCCGTGCTTGATGTTTTATCCTCGAGTAAATCTGATTTGGATTGGTATTTCAGTGTCTGTGTTGTGAAATTCAAGTGGTGTGACATAACGAAAGAAGTCATTGGAAGTATATGTCCAACAGCAAATAGAAGCTCAACATATCTTTCAGCACACACACTTAAGTATGCATACATGGATGAGTGGAGAGGGGTTCAAGTAGGGACGGACCTATAGTGATCTGATGTTGTTTCCTGACGAGCTTTACCAAAGACATTCAAAGCCTGTGCTGAGTCTTGCAGTTCATCGACGACAGACCGATATGAAAAAAGTCGATAAAACGTCAGAATAATTCGGACTACATCCGGCTAAACAGGGACTCATTTACCATTTATTTAGAGAAAACATTTGTTTCTTAAAGGTCAGTATCTGTAACCATTATGTCCATTTAATGCAATTAAGAACCAACTAGTATATTGCTAGTCATCGTTGATGGATAACCTTATTTATGATTATGGGCGTTTTCTTAGTATTTTTTATACAATACTTGACCAGGTGCCAAATTAAAATGACTGACTGAACTGTGTAAAGCGTATAATTATGAATGCTAAGTGTTCTCCGACGAATTTTTATTTTACCTTCCAGAATGTTTGATTGTATAGATCTCAATAGAACTGAACAGCAAGCAAGACTCCTTACAATGTTAAAGAGCGTCTATACATCATATTGTTAGTATTGATTGATATCCATGGGATTTCACATATTAGATGTGACTTTATTACTATTTTAAGGATTATATGACAATTATTAATTCGACATTTTCACAACTTCGTTCAGTTGGGTAGATATAAGATGGCCAGCACAGAACAAAGTATCTATTACCAGCATCAGTCTCAGATCTATAGCTACCATCATCATTAAAATTTTGTGCACTGTTATATTTCGGCTAAATATGGTTCACGCAACGATGCATGTTTGGCACTCTCTTGTTTGAAAATTTCTGCATATTGGACATGTTGTGATTAAAGTCATTCTTATTGAATGTGAAAGCACACAGTGAAATAGAAGTAATGGAAATTATCAAGTCAATGGGTTACGATCAGGCGAGTAATTTCACTTCACCGAGATACGTTTTTTAAAGGAATTTCAAACTTGGACTAGTGTCATCCGTAATGAGCATATTGTCATCTAACAAATGAGACATTGAAAGATTGTCAATCTATAAATTGAAAGTCGATCTATGACGCCAATTGCACGCGGTAGATCATAATTGACAAAGTTTGCTCCCTGTTGAACCAGCTGCTGGATCTGATAAAGCCCAATAGTAACTGACTTTTATTAGAATATCGTTCTCTGCTTTGAGTTTAGAATGTCTGTGTGTACTTGGACACACACACTGGAGTTTAAATTTTGCTTACAAAGAGGCACATTTAGTTGTATATAAGTGTGTAATGATGTGTGATATTTAACGGTATATACAGTCTTTTCAGTTTTTCATGAGAGTGTCACCATATTTGAAATGTTCTGTCTTAATTTGAACAACAACACAATGCTATATTATTGTTCAGCTTGGCAAAAGCCTCTTCAACATTGCTTGTGATCAACAACTCCTCCTTTGTTGGTTGTCGTTGGTGACATGTTGTATGATGATATCAAACTACTTCCCAACAATTTTCTGACAATTTCGGTAGAGATTCTAGAAACATTTATTGCGGCCATTTATAACGGCTGCACATATAGTTCATATTTGTCCCTACAAATTGTTCAGTAAGTATGGTCACTGGAGAGTTTTTCAATCTTCCGATAAGATGATGGGATATTTTGCTGTTGTCTTCCCCGAATTCCACTACGTTCCCATCAGTTTCTCCTACGATACCTTAAACATAGGAGTGTTCCAATGCTGGTCAGTCCCATCATCGGATGGATGGTCCAACTTCGCTAGACGTTTCGGCGCTTATCCGTGACGTCGACTTCCTGATCAGACACAGCCAGGGACTGCTCGGCCCTCTATCCTGCTGATTGGAATTGCAGCTTGCTGCCATTATGTCACTGTTGGTCACGTGATGAACATTAACTGCACATGGTTTACATTTACTTGGATAAGAAACCATTTCCTTACATACATGTGGAAAAGGTTGGTGATATAGAAAGAGATAGGAACCAATGTGTTCAGCCAAAGTCCACATGCAGTCATAAATTTTCTTCATTTAATTAGTAGCATATGGAACCCCTTGTCGCTTTGATAGGGGTGTTCGTCCACCATATGTGTGATGTTCCGTCATTAAACGAGAATTAAATGGTTGAACTACAGGATCGTGTGTGTTGTCACGCCTCTGCCCAGATCCTTTCCTGTTTTACAAGTCTTCTTTAATAGATGTGTTATACAGTGTACTATGAGTGCTCCAACTACGTACAACACATTTGCGTCCTTTTACGAATTTGCAGGTTCAAGTGCTGAATGGGCTCTAACGAACGTTTGTGTGAATGCCAATTTTTAGTGCGCTCTGACGAACTTGCACTACAATGTACAAATGCTTAAAGGACTATGACGAGCCTGTGTCATGGGTATGGTTTAAATCAATTAGAATTAATTTCTCAAAGAAGCTCCGTAAGGAATGAATAAAGAAAAAATATCCAAGTATAGAGACAAACAATTCAAATTTTGACAGGACGAAAAACTTAATCCGGGAAAAAACTTTGGGCTGAGTATCTCATATCGGGACGGAAAGCGGCTAAATGGTTCTGATGTTGGCTTCAACTTGTGAGAGCGAGTCCAAAGTTACAGATGAGTCTGAAAGTGAGTTCATTTTTTTCACAGTTTTTGGAAAGAGATTGTCTAAAATGTTTAAATTGCACGAGAAGTTTTTAGACTTTGCTTTCTAGTTGATTTTGTGTTGCGTTCTACATGTAGATAGTCACCAATAGGTACTACAACTAGTTCATTCACAACTTTGAAGAGAAGGATTCGGCAATGTTCTTTCCTCCGGCTTCTTTGTTGGACTTTCTCAAGTGTATCTATGTCTTAAGATGGGGGTCCCAGATGGTGGAGCTATACTCAAGGACTGATCTTACCAGTCTTATCGGTACTAGATTTGAGTATAATAGGACAACGTAACAGGGAACATTGTGAAGGTCCCAATACATGATTACTTGTTCTTGTAGAGCTCACTTATATGGATGACCCGTCTTATTCTTAGATCATTTCTTAATGTGAGGCCAAGTTAAAGGACACCCTCGATACTCCAGAGGTTATGCTCACTTTCGCTTTCTGCACACCTGGAATATTGTAACGTGCGGACGGTCACCCATCCAACTACTGACCACGCTCGACGTTGCTGAACGAGTGTGCGGGTCCCCGGGTTATACCACATCACTGGAAAAGCTAGCTATATAGTAAGGTAGTATTTTACTCTAATATTCCTTAGCTGTTACACTATTCCCCCATCCGTGAATTCTCGTCACGGGACTTGGCCTTAGGAATCACGTAGGTCCTATCTGTGTATCAATGCACCTTCCCTATCTATAGGTTACTGGCCTTACATATCCCACCGCTGCCACCAAATGTAACGTGCAGGCGTTCACCCATCCAACTACTGATTACGCTTGACGTTGCTAAACTGATGAGCGGGTCTCCGGGTTATACCGCATCACTGGAAAAAATAGCTTGCTAGTAAGACAGTATTTTACCCTCATATTCCTTAACTGTTACACTATATGCCATAGCAAAATTGAAGGAACACGGCTAGCTATTTGAAAAAAAAACACATGACCGATTGCTACGCTGGTACCTGTCCTTTGAAGATTACAGAAGAGCGACACCCAACTTTAAAGCAAGTCAATTTTACTGTTACGGGATCGCGAGATTCTTTTGATGTACATCAAAGGATCAAACCAGTCTTCTTGTCCCATCCACAAGTGGCGCACACCAAGCCTTCAATTTTGCTGTAACATATTCCAGGGGGGCTAAGAGCGAAAGTAAGAGTAACCGTTGGGGTATCGAGAATGGGTAAAGGGCTGTTATCACATGCGTCAAAAATAAGTTCTTGTGTGGTATAGGCAAAGTACATGTATTCAGTTAATTGATATTTAGTTACATTCTTGCAAACATTATCATTTTGATTACTAAGCAATCATTTGAATTCTTCTGGCTTGAAAATAGACAGGTCAAATCTATATAAATGGACTAAGTAACTGTTACTTTACACACTATAGTTTTTGTCTTAAGATTTTTACACTTTATAAATTTTCTACGAACGGCTTTCACTTACTGGCATATTTTTACATTAAAAGATGATATCGGTAATTCAGTCTGATCCTTCATCACCCTAGCCCTCTTGGTTATTCAAAATTAGCTGTTCAAAAGGTTCAACACATCTGATCTCAGCAACCTTGAAATTTGTCAATGTCATTCATGGAAATAGATATATAGACATCTAATCAAGCAGAATACAGGCCACATGTTATCACCCTAGGCCTCTTAGTTATTCAGAAGTTCTCCGAAGTTTTAGACATATATAATCTCTCTGACAATGATGCAAAGATAGCTATTTACCAGAACATACTTCTGGCCCAGTACATGTATCATAATTGAGGTGTACTGGTTATTCAGAAGACATTTAAAGATTTTGACATACATGTATTTGACCTCTGTGACATTGAAAGTAAGGTCAGTGTCACTTAAATTCACAAACTTTGTTGGCTTCCACCCCAGGAAGCTACCAGCCTACTATAAATATCATAGCTCTAGGACTTTTAAGTTGTTCGGCAGAAGGTATTTTTTCTTTACATATTAGATCACTGTGACAAGTAGGCCAAGTTCATTTTTATTTGTTAACTTCTTCTTTGGGTTCTATTTAAAGAAGCATCATGGCTCGAGACCTTCAGTTTTCCGGGGATACTGCCACATTTCCTTTAAATGCTACTAGTCCTTAACAGCTTTATGGATTGGCCTGGAGCATCCTTGGGCAAAGGGTAATAAAGTCTGTATAAGTGGAGTGTGTGGCCCCTCTTGGTGCAGAGGGGTGGGGCCTAATAGGGGAATTTGAGCTATTAATCTTTAAAATCCTTCTTCTTCCTTACCATTGGAGGGATTTTATCCGAATTTGGCCTGGAGCATCCTTGGGCAAAGGGGACAAAATTTTGTATAAACCGAGGGTGCGGCCCTCTGGGTGCAGAAGGGATGAGCTTCGAGGCTGATAGGGGAATTTGAGGTTTAAATCCTTAAAATCCTTCTTCTTTTGTACCATTGGAGGGATTTTATCAGAATTGGGCCTATGGGATCCTTGGGCAAAAGGGACTAAATGTTTTATAAACGCAGGTTGTGGCCCTTCTGGGTGCAGAGGTGCGGGGGGGTTGAATTTAAGGTAAATCTTTAAAATCCTTCTACTTCTCTACCATTGGAGGAATTTTAACAAATTTTGGTCCAGAGCATCCTTGGGCAAGGGGAACTAAATTTTGTTTAAAGGAAGAGTGTGGCCCAATAAGGGTAACATAGTAATAAATCATTTAAATCCCTTCTTCTTAAGTATACTTTCTGGGATTTTAACCAGATTTTGTGTAGAGCATCCTTGGAAAAAGGGGACCCAATTTTGTATAAATGGATGGTTGCTTTTAGGGGGTAGAGGGACAGGGCCCAATAGTGAAAATTGAGGTTTATGTTTTAAATCTACACCATTTCATGGGGGCAGAAAGGAGGGATCTAATAAGGGACAGGTTTCTTAGAGACAAAGCCAACATTTGGAAGTAGTTGCAGTATTATATGTTATAAGAATGATATTCCATGTTTGTTTTATTATCAAGGTGAGAGATACATGCCATCTGGGCCTCTTGTTTAGAAGCAGTTGTTTGAAGGAAACATTGACATATAATGAATGGATGAACCCTTTGGGCAGTCAATCATGAAGTGTGATTCATATCTTCTAGATGGAAATTTGAACATGTTCTAACCCCCAATAACATATTAGGGATTTCCCATTGACAAGTTTCTATATTTTGATAGTGATTACTTGTTCTTCAATTTGTTAAGCTGTGTCATGTAGCTTTATTGGGTATTTTTTCAATTGACAGTTTGTTTTAAACTATATAGCACATGAAGGAGAAGTGACTTACAGTGTACCAACATATATGTCTATACCTTATAAGATATGGAAATTAGATTATTACAATATTCCAATAGATTGAGTTTCCCTAGAAAAACAGAATAACAGACAAAGTTGTTAACCAACGAATTTTGCTTCTTTTGAAAAAGCTGATAATTAAGAGGATCACACCCTATATCTTCACACAGTATTTTGATGAACTAAATACCTTCTGACGAATTACTACATGTGCTCAGTGTTAAGTCTTGTGTTATGTGTTCTGTCCTAACAAAATAACAGGTGCAGTGTTTTTAGACAAGATGTTTTTCAGCTGCAATAATTAGTCTGCTTCATCTAGTGGATAAATATACAATGTTTGCTTGTGTCACCATTTTCCTTACCATAACATCGGAGTCATGCCATTGATAGACAGGACTGCTGTTAATTCTTTCTTAGATAAGAAGTAAAATGTTTAATAGGCAAACAAAATTATGATTTTTTACATACATATCATGTACCTGTAAAACCTGTTTCAAAATTCCATGCAACATGACAATTCTAAGCAGGTAGTTAGCTTTAATCTTTGCAGAAACAATTAGAATAAAGACTAAGAACAAATATTGAATCCAGTACATCAAAACAAACAAGGAAAGAAAAGGGTTCAAAATCAAATAAATTATTTATCTTGCATGAAAACAATCAGTACTATATTTCTCTTTGCATGATAGTATGATGGAATGACAAGTGTATACAAATGAGAATTAAACAGATTCATATTGATGTTTAAGAATTTCGAACTTCAAATTTTTTAAGAAAAATTGTACAGTTAATGATGCTAAAAACCTTAAAATTTGGCAATATTTATAATATCTATTCAAACAGGTGAAGTCTGGTTGAGTTTTGATCATCATGCCACTTGCCCATGCTGCTCCAGTAAGTAATTACAAGTGAGAAGTCTCTAAGCTCTAGTTATACAGCTGAGTTTCAATAATTTCCAGCAACGACTTATACATGCATGTTGTCCTATCATCTGGTCACTCTGCAGGGAACCAAACATAGGGGACTGGATTGTATACATTATTGTATACATCTTTCAAAACACAAAAACAGTCTTGTGGTTATAGTCTTCCATTAAGTCCTGAGTACAGCTTTCACTAGACACACTACACAACATATTATCACGATTCTTAGATAGATGTTTTTCTTACTGTGGCAACATTGTCCTTATGATGAACTAATAAGGAAGCCTCAAAACGATAAAACATAAATCACTTTGATCATTCATTGGTCCAGTGTAATAATTCTGAGTCAAAGTTGATGATGCAGGAAGTGTGTCAATGGTGTTGTTATTGACATCCTGTTCTGTGAAGGGCTTAAAATGTTAGCATCCTTGAATTACCCTTCTTTGACAGTGTGAAGGACACATCTTTCCAGTATCTTTGACAGAACAAAGGGCAATCTTTTCGTCTCCTTTAATGGTAAGAGATTGCGTCTCCTTTAATGGTAAGAAGGACAATCTGAACATTCAACAGCATAAAAAAACAATATTTTTAATTTTAAACCTAAGCTCCATATACTTCACTTCTGTAATTGTGCTTGATCCTGTTGTATTGAATTTAATCTCTTGCCAATCAGTTCATGGATTTCCAAATATTTTGCTACACATCTGTCAATGCAAACTCCTTCACCTTTGTTCATATCTGTCTCTTTATAATTTGGTGGTATACATTTTTTCAAACACACACTGGTTAATCTGCAAAAAAAGAGAAGAAAATCAGTGAGAAATTCTCATACATAATCAGACAATGTAAGTAATAAAACACTGTGAAGCGTTAATGATCAGCCACCACTACCTGTACACTGTTTGTCCCATGTTGTCCGTGTCTGCCCATAAATGTGGGGGTATATGACGTCCTAAAATGGATATGGCCCTCAAAATGATGCAGTCTTGCCAAATTAAGAGTCAGAATACAAAATTTATGCTTGATTTTACCCCCTTTTTTGGTCTGGCAAAAACACTGCAGTCCCACTATTCAGTGTCGTTAATCCAGCATAAGCCTATCCATCTACCACAGATCTGGCTCCTCCAGTAACAAACCACCACCATCTACCACAGATCTGGCTACTCCATTATCAAACCTCCACCATCTACCACAGATCTGGTTACTCCAGTAACAAACCACCACCATCTAGCCACCACAGATCTGGTTACTCCAGTATCAAACCACAACCATCTAGCCCGCACAGATCTGGCTACTCCAGTATCAAACCACCACCACCTACCACAGATCTGGCTACTCCAGTAACAAACCACCACCATCTCCCACAGATCTGGCTACTCCAGTATCAAACCACCACCATCTCCCACAGATCTGGCTACTCCAGTATCAAACCACCACCACCTACCACAGATCTGGCTACTCCAGTAACAAACCACCACCATCTCCCACAGATCTGGCTACTCCAGTAACAAACCACCACCATCTACCACAGACCTGGCTACTCCAGTATCAAACCACCACCATCTACCACAGATCTGGTTACTCCAGTAACAAACCACCACCATCTAGCCACCACAGATCTGGCTACTCCAGTATCAAACCACCACCATCTCCCACAGATCTGGCTACTCCAGTAACAAACCACCACCATCTAGCCACCACAGATCTGGCTACTCCAGTATCAAACCACCACCATCTACCACAGATCTGGTTACTCCAGTATCAAACCACAACCATCTAGCCCGCACAGATCTGGCTACTCCAGTATCAAACCACCACCATCTACCACAGATCTGGTTACTCAAGTATCAAACCACCACCATATAGCCACCACAGATCTGGCTACTCCAGCATCAAACCCCCACCATCTACCACAGACCTGGCTACTCCAGCATCAAACCACCACCATCTACCACAGATAGAGCTACTCCAGGATCAAACCACCACCATCTACCACAGACCTGGCTACTCCAGCATCAAACCACCACCATCTACCACAGACCTGGCTACTCCAGCATCAAACCACCACCATCTACCACAGATATGGTTACTCCAGTATCAAACCACCACCCTCTAGCCACCACAGATCTGGCTACTCCAATAACAAACCCCCACCATCTAGCCACCACATATCTGGTTACTCCAGTATCAAACCACCACCATCTAGCCACCACAGATCTGGCTACTCCAATAACAAACCACCACCATCTAGCCACCACATATCTGGTTACTCCAGTATCAAACCACCACCATCTAGCCACCACAGACCTGGCTACTCCAGTATCAAACCACCACTATCTAGCCACCACAGATCTGGTTACTCCAGTATCAAACCACCACCCTCTAGCCACCACAGATCTGGCTACTCCAGTATCAACCCACCACCATCTAGCCACCACAGATCTGGCTACTCCAATAACAAACCACCACCATCTAGCCACCACATATCTGGTTACTCCAGTATCAAACCACCACCATCGAGCCACCACAGATCGGGCTACTCCAGTATCAAACCACCACCATCTAGCCCCCACAGATCTGGCTACTCCAGTATCAAACCACCACCATCTAGCCACTGCTTATCCAATTATCCCACTTTTCAGCCACTACTAAGTACTAATCTGGTTATCTGCTTACCAAGCCACCATAATTTTGGTTATCTTCATCTAACCACCACTAATCTCAGTAATCTGGTAATCCCACTATCCAGTTCTGTTAATAATACAGTCTCAACTAATATGGTTATTACACTATCCAGCCACCACTAGTTTGGTTGTACCACTATAGCTATCCAGCACCAATAACCTGGTTGTACATGTACCACTATCCAGCACCAATAACCTGGTTGTACCACTCTCCAGCCACTACTATTCTGGTCATACCACTATCTAGCCACCACTAATATGGTTGCCTTACTATCTAGCCACCACTATTCTGGTTGTCCCACTTTCTAGCCACCACTAATCTGGTCGTCCCACTATCCAGCACCAATAACCTGGTTGTACCATTACCCAGCCACTGCTTATATGGTTGTCCCACTAGTTTGCCACTATGTATCTGGTTGTCCCACTATCTAGTCACCACTAATCTGGTTGTCCCACTATCTAGCCACCACTAATTTGGTTGTCCCAATATCCAGCCACTACTTATCTGGTTGTCCCATTATCCAGTCACCACTTATCTGGTTGTCCAACTATCTAGCTACCATTAATCTGGTTGTCCCACTATCCAGCCACCACTAATCTGGTTGTACCAATATCCATCCACCACTTATCTGGTTGTGCCACTATCCAGTCACCACCTATCTGGTTGTCCCACTATCTAGCCACCACTAATTTGGTCATCCCACTATCCAGCACCAATAACCTGGTTGTACCATTACCCAGCCACTGCTGATATGGTTGTCCCACTATCTTGCCACTATGTATCTGGTTGTCCCAATATCCAGTCACCACTTATCTGGTTGTGCCACTATCTAGCCACCACTAATCTGGTTGTCCCAATATCCAGCCACTACTGCTGTCCAACTCTTAATTTTGCCTGCGACACTTTAAAACAATTGCATGGCATGATAAAAGGACCTTTGAATACATTTTTTTCCCTGAAAATTCATAAAAAATGCCATTTATTTGTCAATACCAACAGAAAAAGTAGGACAACATTCCTGCAAGCATCTAAAATCTGAATACACTTTATAAAATCTTAGTTAGTCTCACTGGCATGGCGCTTGCCAGTTCGAGGATAGGATAGGCCTGCTGACTATCCAACTGTATGACTGTAAGATGGGTCGTTTCTTCCCCGTCTTCTATTTAGGGGACATTGAAAAACCTAGAATAGACCTGCTGTATACAAATGCATGTTTATGGTAAAAGGTGACTAATGTGGGGCTCCCTGCAGAATCAGGGGTTTTCTTCAGTGTTTTCTATCAAGAGGACACCAGAATTGATCTACTGCCCCAACTCAGGATATTTTTAATAAATTTTCTATCTTTCCTGTCTACTTTCTTTCTTTTTTTTCATCTCCATTAATTCTTCCCGCAGTGTCTACCTAGGCACTCATCTTCATGTGATACTGGTTGTTGCGAGGAGGGGTGGAATTAGCCGCTGGTCCACTGGCCTGTGCCTAGTTTTCTGGGTGGACCAGTAGGTTTTTCAACAAGCTTTTCCGCCGGGCCAGTAGATATTTTGTAAATTTATCTAAAGTTTCAGCGCCAGCGGATTTAAAAAGCTTTATTTTAACCCAGAATGTACCACACAGCTTCTTGATTTAAAAACTTCTGGTGGGGGTCAAAAGAGTATCGTGTACCTTTTGGGCTCGCTCAGCCCTGCAGCCCATGTTATCTGGACCAGTGCACTTCAAACACTGAAACAGGACCAGTGGATTTTTACTTCAACTGGCCCATTGGACCAGTAATCGATGTTTAAAAATTTCACCCCAGGTTGCAAGGATGGTAAACCCCAGATAGACAAGCTATCAACTATCATAACATTACAGATCAGGGCCAATGGGGGCCTGTTTATCTTAACTAGACCACAGACATCTCTTTATGAATACGCTGAAGTAATCAAAACTGGTATGTTACAGCGGATGAGACATCTATTTTTTTTATATTAAAATGGAAATGATGTATTCCTATAATGTTACAAGTGAAATCATGATCAGCGCTACAGGTGATATAGATTGTTAGATGTCCTTGCAAGTTGCAATTAACATGATGCAATATATTATTGAAGATATGCTATTGTCCAAAAATTACCTTTGATACAGATTCTGCATCATTTCAACCTCTATTTCCTGGATTAGCTTCAATTGAGATTCATTTAAACTTTCCATCTTGTTCTTGGTATTCACAAGATATAACACGAGTGTTAGAGGGTAAATATCACACACGTGCACCCCGTTACAACCGGAACCGGAAATGTCTTCAGCTATTTTTTTTGGACAACCTTCAACCAATCAGATTTGACGTAACATACGCATTGACCAATCATAATGACCTTAACAACACTATTTGACAGATATTTGTGTTGACTTCGATGACAGGTAGCTTGCCAAAGAGGAATATATTGGAATGCGATGTGGAAATTTTCCCATTCTTAATGTATTTGGACAGAACAACTTGAACAGTTCAGTTCGATACGTCATGTACGGTTGGACTGTTTTAGTTTCACTACTAAAGTTCTAGGAACCGCTTTCATTCGGACAACGACTACTTTCACATTGTCCATTGTGATTGTGTGGTTGGGAAGACAATCACACCTTTGTTTTGATGTAGACCTAAACTGTGTTTTTATCGTTGCCCTTTATATATTGTTAAAACATACCACAACAATGGCAGAAAACGCGGCACCTGACACAAAGTTTTGTTCAAATTGGTAAGTAATGTGTAAAGGTAAACACGGAAGGTTAATAAGCCTATCCAGTATTTAGAGGGGAATTAGTTTGTGATGTAATTGTAAAGAACCTATATTTAAATTTCTCACTTATCACTGTCAGTTGCTAACTCATCACTGTGCAAGTGTTCGAAATTCTGACAGTTAATAGAGAAATTAGCCTATTTTAACAATATTAAAAAAGTTCGGGTAGTAATTAAGACTAACCCTATATGTTTTTAATTACGGTAGAAGGAGAGGGCATGACCAGATTGGGATTCAAACCTTGGACTCTCCAAACTCTAGACAGAAGCTCCTACCAATTGAGCTACCTGTTCCCAACCAATCGACCCTAGTCCAGTTCCGCTACATTAATTAATTTGTTATTGTCGCACTGTTCTTCCAGTCGTTGTAAGTCATCGATACTTTATGGTATGCGCATATTTGTTGGTGACAAGTTTTAAGAGTTAAAAGTTCATTCAATTATTGCTTAAATAGATAAATTTACAGTCAGAATCTCAAACATCTGTGATCACTGTTTGAGCTTCAAATGTTTTAAACACAATCATGTCATCAGGTGCATTTTTCGATGAACAATGACTGACATGAAATCGGGATGTGGTGCAGAAATTTTCATGCTTCCTGTACATGTCTCTAATAAAAGTTTGTATGTAAAATTGGAATACATATAGATCACTTTAATTTTGGATGCATGGGTCCAAAAACACAAAAACTGAAAAATGACATCTAGAAAATATAGAAAAATCCTAAGAAAGTTACAGGTGGTAATTTATTCAGCAAATGCTCCTGAGATCATACTGCAGTCATTCATTGCCAAAGGGGAAAACAAGAATATTGAACATAATTAAAAACAAAAAATACTGTTGGTTTTTATATATCCTCATATAATTCAGTACGATTTTGGTAACAAATCATTTATGTTCCATTTCCCTTTTCAATAATATTGCTTTGTATGCAGTAATTAAGAGTCAAATGTTTGGGACTATTCAACAACCAAATCGAGATGCAATTCATGCCTTTTTCTTTCTTTAGTCTTCACCCAGAAGATGTTCACACTTTTCATTACAAAACAGTGTTAAACCCCTTTCTCAAACCCTAAATGGTAATTAATTGACACCCTTATTATTTCATACCTAGTAACAAACATTGTGTTACCCTGAACAGAAGAATTATATGCTAATTCTCATTCTTTCAATGTCTGATGCACCAAACAATTGGTGTTCAATCGGGTAATGACTATTGAAGAACAGATCCAACAATTATAATTGCTGCTATGTAATTGCTTATCTTACACAAGTAGATTATTTGTGCTGCAGAAAACTGCTGCTAACTCTTAATAGCCAAGCTAAAAATAGCATTATATAAATACAACAGGTACATACCTTACACACATATAAAACATTCCTTTGTATGCAGCTGCCAGCGGAGTAATTAACCACACGGCCTGTGGTTGTAGTAGCAGAAACACGATAACACTAGATAACATCAATTGGAGGTTACTAGGCTTCATTCACAAATACCTTGTATATATGTTGTACTGTAGATAAGAATATATGACAAAAGTCAGTTGTTTTGTGTTACACCCACTCAGACTCTTGGACCAATGGACCATTTCTACTATAAACATCTGAGGCCAATGTAGTTTTTTTATCAATCAAAAATATTTTACCATTGTTTTCTCCCATTTCCATCATATCACACTGTACACATAAATGTATTGCTAAATTAATTTACAATTATTTTTTATTGATCCTCTTCCTATGTATTTTGTATTAAAATCATCTGTCCCACAATGTTTTTTGTTTTTTTAAGGAATTTTGTGTGTCTCAGCAAAATTGTAGAATATTCCTGGTAGATCTTGGGACTTGTACATGGATATATATAGATTAAGATAGAGATGATAACAAAGTTTTACTTTTGTACATTATAACACTGGTAATTTAAGTTTGATGGGGTTTTTTTTTTGGGGGGGGGGGGGGGGAATAAACTACCAAGTACTGCACTTTTATTTTATTACAAACAGTAAAATACACATGTACATGTACACCTGTATGAATTTTTATTTTTACTGTAATTGCAAAAAAACACAACATTGCCCATAGTTAGTACTATACTGAAAACTTATCTCAAAACAAATATTTGTGTTGTTCTCATGTATAAAATTATAAACTCCTTTCGGCTTTGTTACCGGTAATTATCATTTTGATTTGTTTAACATATTATGCCTTAAAACCAATTGCAAATCCAAGTTTATTTTCTATGCTTCTCTGTATTGGCATTTAGTGTTTTCAAAGTTGAAACACAAATATGAACAGCAAATGTAAGTACTTAAAAGAACTGTAACAACTTCACACTAAAATTACCACAGCCATGCATCAGACCATGAAAGTTAAAAAAAAATATACTTGTAAAAGTGAACTTGCAAATAATGTTATATATGTAACAATTATACTACAGGTATCAAATACTGACAACAATTTCCCATAGCAATTCTATGTCAAGTTATACTTAAAAAAAGTCGCAATTCACAGATCTTAATCATCTTGGTAATAGCACCTTCTTGACACTCAACAAGCTAAAAGACATTTGCTATAATACAAAACAATATACTTTTGCAGCAAGAGGGATATAAATGCCGCCAATTTTATGATGCATGAGATGCATTGTAAACGGCACATCTCGCTGTGTCAACACTGCCAGGAGCCTATCCCCAAGGCGGAAATGGACATCCATTTCGAGGAAAGCCATGCCAAAATCAACTGTGAAAAATGTCACCAGCCAGTGGAGAAAATGAATTTGGAACAACATGAGGTATAAATGTGCAACAGGTTCTCTTAGATGTCCTTTACTGAATAACAAATTATTGAAGGATTGGAAACTGGAAACAAACTATGGACCATGTCTTGGAAAAATGTGTTACTGTAAGATAATGCAAATATTTTGAGATTTATTAAAGATATGTGAAGATCTGTTCAGAATTATTTTAAGTAGCACGAATTGATAAATCTGATTGATGTAAAATTGTATCCCTCACAAAATAAAGAAATTTAAGCTAGTTTTGTTAACATAAATCTTCTCATTTTTATTCTCAGGAGCAAGAATGTCCAAAGCGTCAAATGAAGTGTGCTTATTGTGAAATGGATGTGGCTCAACAGGATCTTGAGGCCCATCTGGGCTACTGTGGCACACGGACGGAACCGTGTGCTCACTGTGGCCAGTACATTATGATCAAAGATCAGGTTAAACATGAGGACAGCAACTGTACATACCCACAGCCTAAACCAACTAATGGCAGGGAGTTTAATAGACAGTTGTCCAATGGAAATGGTCCTACCAGCAATGGGGAAGGAGTTGGTGCAGCCTTTTCTGATGACATGCTATTTGGCACTGGGGAAATCAATACTTTTGAGTTTAAGGAGATTCAGAGGATTCTGACTAAGCCTGAAATCAGTGGAGCAGCAGGTCAAAGGGTTCGAGGGAGTCAACAAAGGGACACTGAAAAACCGAAAAAGGCAACAAGAAAGAAATCCAATGACAAAAATAAGAAATCAGATCTAAATCGACTAAGAGGTAATTTTAGACTAACTTTGTGTACAGAGAAAGATTGTTGTATAGCGTAAGATTGTGTACAGTGCAAGATTGTATACAGTGTAAGATTGTGTACAGTGCAAGATTGTATACAGTGTAAGATTGTATACAGTGTAAGATTGTATACAGTGTAATAATGAGTACAGTGTAAGACTGTACAATGTAAGGATTATCTGGATTACATTTAACAAGTTTGTGTATTATTTTACTCTAAAGAGCAGGCCAGCAGTAGCCAACCAGACACAGGTTCCGCCTACAACGAGGAGCAGGACAGACTTCTAGCTCTGGCTCTATCCGAGGACCTGCACAACGATGAAGGCATTGACCAGTACATACGTACCATAGATAAACCAAGAATCTCTCTCACTCCAGACAGTCCACTGTATGAGGATGGCTTCGGAAATCCAGCAAACTTACACTCAAGTTTTGGAGGCATGTTTTGATTGATCTCTAAATTTGAAATTGTGAAAAATTTATTGAAAAGTTTCCATCAGATTTATGACATCAGCTTTATTGTACCTTCTAGGGTATATAGGGATCTGTCCTTACACAAGTATATACAACACCATCAAAGTCCTGCACTGTTCACAAACATCATTTGTTATAAAGGTGGTCATTTGAACCCTTTCAGATCAAAAGCTGGGTCGCCAGTAATATTAATTTAAAAAAAGGTTTAGGGTTCAGAATTCATTGATCTAAATTAATTGTCATGAAATTGACATACATATGTATAACATGTTCAAAAACATCATGTCTTGTACATATTGTATATATGACTTTCTGTTTTGAATTTCTGCGGTAAAAAACAAGGTCCATTTTCGTTTATCGTGATCTAAACTGTTAAAGCAGTTGGACCAGAGTTGTTCGTTAATGAACTAAGGTCGTACCTAGTAATCTGGTGCTGCTTTCAGGCGAGCCTTGACAAAGCCTTAAAAGGCCTGCATGAACATTTGCAGGTCCGCCAGGATTTATACCCAAAATGTTGCATTTAAAAACAGACAAACTGTTTGTTCCACCTAAACGAACAGGCCCAAGTTGATTGTTACTATAAATAGAAATTTTGCAATCATTGCTGTACAGACTTCATTTCTTGTGATTGTCTTGCAACTTGGATAACGTTCTATAAACAAGACCTTCTAAGCTGATCAATGTTACTTTAAACAGAATATTTGACATCGTTGACCCTAAGTACCTCTATTACAGATAGTATTTCTGATTGCTTGCAATCCAGCCATTGGGATTGCGAGAAATGATCAAATATGAATATTTTGTTTTCAGATCTTTCTGTGTTACCTTGTGAGTTTTGTGGCCATGCTGTTCCAGTGGATGACCTTGTTATACATCAGGTAAATAATTGTATGATATTGTAAACAATTGTTCCTTAAGGACTCTCAACCCTTTAATAATTAAATTACCTACAGAATTATGTTAAATATTTGTTTAACTAGCAGTTTAAATTATGGATGTGATTTTACAGAGCATGTTGTGTTCTTTACTGTTCAATTGAAGAAAAAAATACCAAAAAAATGCATTTCTGTTAGAAAGGTCAATCTTCGAAAGTTGACAAATATTGTCGTAAATAAAAACTTGTATCATTGAATATTACAATCTGATATCTTTAGTTATATATGTGTGGACAAAGAATTTACATATATGGTAGATATAAATTCTAGTTTTGTTTTTGTGACTTCATAATTTTCTGGAGCGAATTTATATTAATAAAAATAGATATAGGTCTATCCCAGACTCTCTGTGATAGCGAATGTTAATCAGGCTGTTTGCCTACCTGTTGACTGAAATGTCGATATTTTATTGATCTATACTTTTAAATTGCAATTACAGCAAAACCAGCGTTTTGTTTTAACAATTTGGGATGATACATGCTTTGATAACATAAACTAGATCTCTTCACTTGTTGCCCATAGAGTTTCTCTGATTGACCCAGAGGATGGTATAATATTGGTATCTTTATATCAGAGCTCCTGTATAGAAGATCCCCTTAGTTCTTTGATGCCCCAGACAGCTTCCTCAGACACTCCAACCCAAGAGCAATCAGAGGATAACCGATACAGGGGTGCCGCTCCAGAGTGTAGACAGCCTCCCCCAATCATCAATAACCTTGTTCCCGAGTCCTCTGCGCCCCAACAGTGGTGAGTTAGCCCTCTAATGCTCAACATGACTGATAAAATCTATTACCTGTAACTGAGCGAGATCAGGTTATCTCATTCGAGGGCTAAGATTTTATAACAGAATCCCAAACGAGGCGTTACAGAATATTTATAATGCAGACTGTCAATTTCAAACCGTTAAGGTGCGGATGAATGCGTCACAGTGTAAGAATACCAAGAAATGTCATGTAAAGGTACCAGACAGATCGGATGAAATAGAAAATCTAGAATTGAGTATGACGTGGGATATCTCTGTCTGATATCTCTGTGCGAGAAATCAGTATAAATTTACTACATGTACTTACAGAAGCAGACATGTATAAGACCAATGTAAGCTATACATAGTGCTATATTATTATCCTTTCCTTCCTTGCTATCAACTTTCTTCTGAATAATTGATCAGGTTTATAGGTAAGTTTTCTCGCTATCGTCTCGGACACAAAAGATTATAGATACCAACATTTTGTGATTTATTGATGGTAACCGGTGAAATCTCAGACAATAATATTGACTCTTTGCTCATCTACAGGTTTGAACAGATGATCTCACCAGAAGAAGAGAATTTTGCTGAAGATTTCCTGCTGCCTTGTGAATTCTGTGAGGAGTTGTTTCCCCATGAAATCTTAGTACAACACCAGGTGAAAAACATGAGTTTAATCCTTACAGGATTTTGGCCACCATTTTTATGCCCCCGCCATAAAATGGGGGGTATATAGTGAAACCCATGTCCGCCCCGTCCCGTCCCGATTCAAAGTAAATACCCATCCCATCGCGTCCCATCCCGATTCATTGTAAACACTTAGCGACTTCATTCTTTGAGAAATTTTGGTCAAACTTTATACAACGGTACAACCCTCCATAAAATGGGGGGGGGGGGGGGGCATATGGTGTTGCCCATGTCCTTCCCATCACGTCCCGATTCAATGTAAACACTTAGCAACTTCATTCTTTGACAGATTTTGGTCAAACTTTATACAAAAGTCAAGTATGAGTATACTTCTGACATTGTTGTGTGTGATGGTTAATATCAGTGAGGTGATAACATGTGTGTGATGGTAATATCCGTGAGGTGATAACGTGTGTGATGGTAATATCAGTGAGGTGATAACATGTGTGTGATGGTACTATTAGTGAGGTGATAACATGTGTGTGATGGTAATATTAGTGAGGTGATAACATGTGTGTGATGGTAATATTAGTGAGGTGATAACATGTGTGTGATGGTAATATCAGAGAGGTGATAACATGTGTGTGTTGATAATATCAGTGAGGTGATAACATGTGCGTGATGGTAATATCGGTGAGGTGATAACATGTGCGTGTTGATAACATCAGTGAGGGGATAAAATGTGTGTGATGATAATATCAGTGAGGTGATAACATGTGTGTGATGATAATATCAGTGAGGTAATAACATGTGCGTGATGATAATATCAGTGAGGTGATAACATGTGCATGATGGTAATATCAGTGAGGTGATAACATGTGCATGTTGATAACATCAGTGAGGTGATAACATGGGTGTGATGATAATATCAGTGAGGTGATAACATGTTCGTGATGATAATATCAGTGAGGTGATAACATGTGTGTGATGGAAATATCAGTGAGGTGATAACATGTGTGTGATGGTAATATTAGTGAGGTGATAACATGTGTGTGATGGTAATATTAGTGAGGTGATAACATGTGTGTGATGGTAATATCAGAGAGGTGATAACATGTGTGTGTTGATAATATCAGTGAGGTGATAACATGTGCGTGATGGTAATATCGGTGAGGTGATAACATGTGCGTGTTGATAACATCAGTAAGGTGATAACATGTGTGTGATGATAATATCAGTGAGGTGATAACATGTGCATGATGGTAATATCAGTGAGGTGATAACATGTGCGTGTTGATAACATCAGTGAGGTGATAACATGTGTGTGATGATAATATCAGTGAGGTGATAACATGTGCGTGATGATAATATCAGTGAGGTGATAACATGTGCATGATGGTAATATCAGTGAGGTGATAACATGTGTGTGATGGTAATATCAGTGAGGAGATAACATGTGCGTGATGATAATTTCAGTGAGGTGATAAAATGTGCGTGATGATAACATCAGTGAGGTGGTAACATGTGTGTGATGGTAACATAAGTGAGGTGATAACATGTGCGTGATGGTAACATCAGTGAGGTGATAACATGTGTGTGATGGTTGTTTTAGGCTGTATGTACCACTGACAGTGGTAGAGCGACACCATTGGTCACAACTTCCCCTACAACAAGGATAGCAGATCCCTCCAACAGGCGCGGCCAGCCAACAGTGGAGGAACCTTTGTCTTCTCGTGTAAGGAAACGTCAGCCTGCTCCAGATATAGCCAGCATTCTGAGTGAAAGTCCTGACAATCGGCGTAAACAGCCTGGTACCTCCTCACGAACAAGTTCAAAAAACTTGACTTCACATTCTCAGCATCTGAAATCCACCATGGAGAAGTATGGTGTGGCAGCCGATGATTCATACAAGCAGCGGGCAGTGCGTCGGGCTCTGAGGCACCAAAACTCACATGAGGAGGACGAGGATGTGTCTCCACGTCCCAGGACCGGGAAGTCAGCGGGAAGAAGGGGCCCCACTACTAAGAATACTCTTGACAGTCTCCTGCAAGTTGATCCTCCAAATCCTGTTAGACCATCACATGATCTGCTAGGTCATGTGACCACAACATCCTCCACAAGAAAAAGTAGTAAAGACAATTTGAATTCTTCTAGACAGACAAGGCAGATGAGTGTTCCATCCGAGTCCTTTTCCGGTGCTAGAACATCTAAAAAGTATGATGCGACTTCCTCCAGCTTATACGGTGACACCAGTAGGACAGTCAGAGGTAATGTACTGTAGGATAGATATTTAATAGGTAATGTAGTTATACCAGTAGGACGGTCAGAGGTAATGTACTGTAGGATAGGTATTTAATAAATAACGTATTTATACCAGTGGGACGGTCAGAGGTAATGTACTGTAGGATAGATATTTAATAGGTAATGTAGTTATCCCAGTAGGACGGTCAGAGGTAATGTACTGTAGGAGAGGTATTTAATAGCTAATGTAGTTATACCAGTAGGACGGTCAGAGGTAATGTACTGTAGGATAGGTATCTAATAGATAATGTAGTTATAGCAGTGGGACGGTCAGAGGTAATGTACTGTAGGATAGATATTTAATAGGTAATGTAGTTATCCCAGTAGGACGGTCAGAGGTAATGTACTGTAGGATAGGTATTTAATAGGTAATGTAGTTATACCAGTAGGGCAGACAGAGGTAATGTACTGTAGGATAGGTATTTAATAGATAATGTAGTTATACCAGTAGGACGGTCAGAGGTAATGTACTGTAGGATAGGTATTTAATAGGTAATGTAGTTATACCAGTAGGGGAGACAGAGGTAATGTACTGTAGGATAGATATTTAATAGGTAATGTAGTTATACCAGTAGGGCAGACAGAGGTAATGTACTGCAGGATAGGTATTTAATAGGTAATGTAGTTAAACCAGTAGGGCAGACAGAGGTAATGTACTGTAGGATAGGTATTTAATAGGTAATGTAGTTATACCAGTAGGGGAGACAGGTTGTGTATATATGAAGCAGTATTTTTATTTTGCAATACAAACAAATCTATTCTAGATAATTTTAAGCATTGTGAAGCAAATTGTATGTGCCAGTAACTTAAGTGTTCAAAATACTTTCATAAGCTGACTTACATGATGAGGTGTTTCATTTTGGGTACCTGCCAAGTTAAAAGTAAACCTGACTCAACTAAGTGAACACTGTAAATATACAGACATATTGATGAAACCTGAGAATACATAAAATGAAAGCTAAATGCATTTAATGGTTCATTATACTAAAAATTTGGGTGTTCCAGAAACTAGATAGAAAACAATGATATTTTTCTTTTAAAGGTGTTCTATTTTGGGTAGCTGACATGTTAAAAGTAAACCTGACTCAACTAAGTGAACACTGTAAATATACAGACATATTGATGAAACCTGAGAATACATAAAATGAAAGCTAAATGCATTTAATGGTTCATTATACTAAAAATTTGGGTGTTCCAGAAACTAGATAGAAAACAATGATATTTTTCTTTTAAAGGTGTTCTATTTTGGGTAGCTGACATGTTAAAAGTAAACCTGACTCAACTAAGTGAACACTGTAAATATACAGACATATTGATGAAACCTGAGAATACATAAAATGAAAGCTAAATGCATTTAATGGTTCATTATACTAAAAATTTGGGTGTTCCAGAAACTAGATAGAAAACAATGATATTTTTCTTTTAAAGGTGTTCTATTTTGGGTAGCTGACATTAGAGGGACCAACATTGCCTTGCAATGTTTTGGCTTGTTAGAAATATTTTGATAAATTTTGTTGAAATTAAATACATTTTTTTTATTTTTTTTACTGAAAAAAAAGAAAGCATTGTAATAAATGGCAATCCCAATTTCCAAGCTAATATTCATACTAAACACTTAACTGCAATTTGACTAACTATAAATCAACCTTGAAATAATTTTAATGTTTTCAAAGTAAGAATATACGTTAAATGTTGACATTTACTTATCAATAACATGGGGTGGGGGGTGAAAATTAAAAAAAATAAAGATATTTATTTACAAAATCTTAATAAATCTATCTTAAATAGGTGGTGATACTGCTGCTTCCAGGAGGCCCCAGGGATCACTGACTGCTCGTGATGTCCAGCAGGAACTTGACACGATTCCAGGAGATAGGTCAACGTTCACATTAGGAAATAGCAGTACTATTGGAGCCAGGAGAGCTAGGTATTTAAAGTTCAGAGTACATAGTTGTAGCCAGGTAATACAATATACAGTACATAATAGTGGCCAGGTAATACAATGTACAGTATATAATAGTGGCCAGGTAATACATTGTAGGATATATACCTACATAGTGGCCAGGTATTATACTGAAGGATACATACATAGTGGCCAGATAATCCAATATAGGATGTATACATAGTGGCCAGATAATCCAATATAAGATGTATACATAGTGGCCAGGTAATACAATGCACAGTACATAAAGATGACCAGGTGTTACAATGTAGGATACATACATGGCCAAGTATTACGCTCTGCAGTACAAAATAGTGGCCAGATAATACAGTGTAGGTTTCATACATGGTGGCCAGATAATACTGTGTAGGATACATACATGGTGTCCAGGTAATACAATGTAGGTTTCATACATGGTGTCCAGGTAATACAAAGTAGGATACATACATGGTGTCCAGGTAATACAATGTAGGATNTAATAGTGGCCAGGTAATACATTGTAGGATATATACCTACATAGTGGCCAGGTATTATACTGAAGGATACATACATAGTGACCAGGTAATACAATGTACAGTACAAAATAGTGTCCAGGTAATACATTGTAGGATATATACCTACATAGTGGCCAGGTATTATACTGAAGGATACATACATAGTGACCAGGTAATACAATATACAGTAAATAATAGTGGCCAGGTAATAAATTGTAGGATATATACCTACATAGTGGCCAGGTATTATACTGAAGGATACATACATAGTGGCCAGATAATCCAATATAGGATGTATACATAGTGGCCAGATAATCCAATATAGGATGTATACATAGTGGCCAGATAATCCAATATAGGATGTATACATAGTGGCCAG